CAGACCCTCTCCAGGTCGGGAGGCAGTCCCACTGGCGTACCAGTGTGCACAGCGCAAATCTGGGCGTAAGCATGGGGAGTGAGACCTTTGGGCAGAAGACTCGGGTGGCCCTGTAGTTGTGCCAGTGAAGACTCCGCCACCAAGTTAAATGTTTTATCCAAAAATACTTTCGTGAACGAGCAGGATAGCTCTCGTCAGTAGGGTCAACATGAATGGTCTGTAGCATCTTGGTCTTGGAGTAGTCTTGAGAACATACGAGAGCACACCAGGACTCCAGATATGGCGAAGTTTCTGCAAGTTCAGTACTGAACGAAGGGACTAACCCGCCAGTAACAACTTTGAAAACTTCTCAAGAAGCACGTTTTACAGTTACTTGGAATAATTACAAATGTCGAGACCGAATACCTCTGGGCATGACCATCTCGTGACGAATAAGCTTTGGAACTGCACCCCTCCCCAGTTCCAAGCCCCAAGCCACACCCGCAGATCGAGTCGGATCATCCGCGTGCCACTGGACGCCTTAGCCCGCCTAAATGCCCGAACTTCCAGGCTTGATCCAACCAGCTGGTCAGGTCGGCTGCATCGGCATACCATCCATGCTATTTTTGGGACTATGCCATGCAGGTCTTAAACTCAACCCCAAGACTGCCACCATTCGGTGCGAGATTGCTTGCTATTGTACAACGTCAGGTTTCTGAGTTCACATCTGAGGCCTAAATATAGTGTCTACGTCTGAGACCTTTTCACTATTTACGGTAGAGGAACCTCGGTGATGGTCGAGGGGATGCTATATAAGCATGATCCTGCTCGGATCATCCACCTTCTTCACACCCAACAACTCAGCAAACCCGCAACAGAAGCCATAAAACATCTCACTCTCAGCGCATCCTTGGGAATCTTTTTTATACAGTCCATCCTCAACCACCAGAATGAGAACCGCTTTCCTCTCCGCCCTCTCCCTCCTCACCCTCAGCGCCGCAGCCTTCAACGTCTCCGTCACCTTCCACGGCGCAACCGAGGACGAGTCTTACTCCCTCCTCTTTCCTACAGACACCACTGCTGTGCAAATCGGTACGTGCATCCTGTCTCTGTTTCAGATGTTTCCATTTGGTCGTTCACTTGCCTGTTGCCGTTCACTCCTCTTTTGGGTTTGGAAAACAGGATCACTGATAAAACTCGACCCGTGCAGACAACCCCATGATCGTGTACAGCATCTCCTCCCCGGGCGGCGGCTTCTGCACCTTTGTGGGAGTGGAGGGCGAGGATGTGGTGATCTTTGCCGAGGACGAGGAGACTTTGACGACTCCGCAGGCGATGAAGTGGGGTAGTTGTGATAACAATTGAGAGCTGGCTGAACAGAGCCAGAACCGCCAGACGGGGCTTTTTTCCCAGGTGACAGATGCAGGAATGGGCTGATTGTCATAAGCTCTCTTTATTGTACAAGTCGGGGAGCGGGGATGAGAATTTCACACTCCTTTGATACAAACACTTTATCGTAGCGAAGAGACAAAGCGTTTTGTTGCCTGATGAGACTTTACAGATTTGATTATTTGCCTGCAATCCTGCAACACGATGAGTTCTCGATCAATGATAAAGAGTTCAGGGTTCAACGCGTCAAAAACCTGCAAACCAATAGCTTCAACCCTAAACCCGGCTGGTTTATAGACAGCCCCTGTGCTACTCCTCTCCACTACCGTGAGTTTCCCCGATCATCCTTCACACGATAGACCCAAATCACCCCTTCCCTCACAAGAGAAACACATCAAGCACCTGTTGACTATTATCACAATGGGTCAAGTACATACCATACCACAGCCACAGCCGGAACCGGGGCGGAAACCTGGCAGACCGAGTTCGAGGGCCACGCGATCACCGTGCACACGAACACCGTGCACACGAACACCGTGCACACGAACACCGTGCTCACAAAGGGCCACAGCACGGGGAACGGCAACCCGACGATTCACGTCACCGGGGACGCGACCGTGCACATCAACGTGAACGTGAACGGGAGCGTAATCCCAGGCCCCAAGGTCCTCCGCTTCGAGCTGCCTCCCGATCTCGCCGACCCGTGGGGGTTCGCGGCGCGCTTCCTGCAGCACGAGTGGCGCACGCAGCGACAGAACCACCCCCACACCTACCCGCCGGAGATGCTCTTCGCGGGCATCGCGACGTGCCCCCAGCGCCAACGCGCGCGCTTCTTCTGCGAGGCCTCGCCGGCCCACCACGGGCCCCCGCTGCTCTGGACGTCCCGGACCGGCCAGACCGAGTTCCCGGCCCCTTCGGCGGCGGAGGGGTTCTCCTTCGTGCGGGACATCTTGGCGTTCAGGATGGATCTCCTCGCCAAGCAGGGGGGCCCGGGGCGGATGCGGCGGCCAGGTGGGACGACGGTCTCAGCCAGGACCTCTTCGACTCAATGGAGAGGCTGACAGATCGGTTTCTGGGTTGACATGCCGGTTAGGTTGGCAGGGGGTGGTCTCCGTCGTCGCGGCTGCAGGGTAGCTGGCTGAGCTTGTTGTGCCTCCTTTTCCTTTTTCTACTCTCGTTGGTGTAAGAAGCTATCTTCAACCAGTCGGTAAGTCCATTCAAATTCGATCAATCCAGAATCCTACGATCTTAAGTAATCCTTCCTTCTTCTTTCTGCGTTCCAAGAACAGGATCACTGATAACATCGAGTTGTACAAGTAATTTTAAATTTAACATACAGGATCTTCTCTTCATATAGCGGCTTCCACGCTTTTGTAGAGGTAGAGGGCAAGAATATAAATATGGTTATCCTTACAGAAACTAAAATAAGGTCAATAACTCCGCGGGTGTAAGCAGGGTAGTCGTGATCATACCCAGAATTGGACTATTGGTCGAGTTCTGCTATTGTTCTACTAGCCGGCAGCGTGAGTGTGGAGCAGAGGAAGTGTGGATAGGAAGCTGAGTTGATTCTAGCGGTGGGTATTTGGAGGGGATACTGGATTTGCTTGTGGTCCTGAAGAAGGTTGATATCTCCACTCTGTATTGATACTACTTCATTCAGCTAGTTAGAAGTACAATATATCAAATTGCTGTCGCTTAAGGAAGAAATGGACGCACCCGACTCTCCTTCCTATCAAGAAGAAAGCACAACAGATCATCGGACATACAGGACTGAACAAAGCCCAATATATTCTTTCACGCTCTCAGACGGATTACCAGAGCTAGGACCGCTGAACTGGGGTCTCTTACCTGGCAACAGATAGAGTCATAGATTAATTGCCATCAGCTCCTCATTATACATTAAGCGGATATCGTCAATCCACAGTACTCTGATCCAAATACTTGACAGTAGCACCAAGATAAAGCACTTTGTTGTCCGATATACTGGAATCTTCAGATCTTTGACAGTCTTTGTTTCTATCACCTCTTATCATGAAATCTTCCCGCTATCATTCCTTCTCTGTATGCCCTCAATAAACTCAGTTCTTTATCCTATTTACGCAATCGAAGATCTACCCCCCCAAGCTGGCGAAGAGGATGACTTCTGCTGGCTTATAAATACCTCATTCTCCCCCCTTCTGCACTGAATACTTGTTGAGATCATCCCTCACACTGCAACTCCAGGCATCCATCCTCATCCGGAAAACACAAGCCAAAAGCTTTAGCCGATACACACCCACACCCACACAAAATGGATCTAGCAGCACTCGCCGCCGGCGTCGGAGTCGAGACGTGGCAGACGGAATTTGAAGGCCACACAATCTCGGTCCACACGGCCAAGGACACTCTGACGGCCGCCCGCGGTCTCCAGACCAGCCAGACCGGCCCCGGGACCCGACGCAAGCTGCCCGCAATTCTCAGCTTCAACGTTCCCGCCGATCTGGCCGGCGGCGATCCATGGGGCTTCGCGGCGCGCTTCCTCCAGCACGAGTGGCGCACCCAGCGGCAGAACCACACGTACCCGCCGGAGCCGATCCTCGCGGGCGTGGCAACGTTCGACCCGCTGCAGAAGGCGCGGTTCTTCCACGAAGCGTCGCCCGACCCTCAGGACCCGCCAGTGCTCTGGACCGGGAGGAATGGCCAGACGGAGTTCCCGGCGGCTTCTTCGCCGGCGGATGTCTCGTTTGTGCAGATTATCCTGGATTTCATGATGGATCTGCTCTCTGAGAATCGCTAGCGGGGCGATGACCACCACACCTGGACGTGATGGCAATCCTCATAGATCCCGCCTCTATTCCATCATGAGGTGGGAAGCACGCTGGGAACGGGTTACCGTACCCCTGGCTGCAATTGTGGCTAGCTGTCCGTACTTTATTTCTTATACTCGGCAGTGGAAGAGATTATCTTCTCTTACTTCCTAAGAAGAAAGATTTGAATGAAAAAAGAAGAATCGAACAATGACAATCATAAGAATTATTATGCATCAAACATGCTCCACGTACACTACTGAGCGTCCAGCTGAGTTCATATGGACCATGATCGTGACTCAGCTATCGTATCCGTAACATCAGCTTTCACTTTACCCTAGAATAGACTTGAATATCGACCCTTTTATTTAGAATCTCTGCGAGTGTATACACAACATGCTCACGCACGAAGGAACTCCAAAAGACGCAATTATCAACACCCTTCCAGGGCTACTCACATCATGTGATGCTGCCTCGCTGCGCATCCGGAGAAGCCCTAAGCTGAGCGAGCACTACCGCTGACGGCTCTCAAGTCTTACCACGTTCCGTGAGATCAATTCCCATTTGGTTTCTGATTTCCCGAGCGTGGCTCAATGGCGCAAGTTCATGACAACAATCCAGCTCAGGCCTGATTCCCTGAGTGCTTCATAGCTGCGGAGGAATGAGTAGTGAGAGAACGAAGAGTAGACAAATGCCGTCCCGACAGACTTTGTTCATCCAATGCTGCTGCCGTCTGACGATGGCCCACTAGATCCTGAATGAGCCTTATTGTGATTAGGACATCGGTAACAAGTCTAAATTGGTGACTGAAACCCTCTTGGATAATCTATGTACAGTACATAACATTGTAGGACTCGTAGGTATCTATTACCCTGTGCTGACAACCGGGCGGTATGGCCAGTTTTGCTCTATACTGCGAGGCAGAATCAAAGAGCCAATGAACAGATCCTTTCGCTCACTCGACAGAGCGTTCAACAACCAAGTTTTCAGACATAGTAAGTTCGCTCCGGGTCTGTAGGAAAAGTCATCTTTCCACCAACCTGTCTCTTCCACTTCCCCTTGCCTCCCACCCAAAGGTTGGAGCGGAGGTCAAGGCCCTGCACGGAGCTGCCCGCCGACAACGGTCGCGTATCGCCTCTGGTGGATAGGATCCGGTCATCCGGAGCCTTCCACGGTCTGTATTGACTCTGGGATGACCCGCCATGCTGCTGCTGCTGCTGCGGTCGTTACCGGGCGGCCAGGAAGGGCTTCACCCGCGCCCGCAGATGGTGATAAATGTCCACGTGCAGCGCGATCTGGAAGAGCACCAAGTCAGATAGACGATCGACCGCCCACTCGGGAAGCGATTGCTGTGCAGTACAGCTCCCAGCGGAAGGTGGGCCAGTGGATGAGCGCGGGTGCCCCCGCGTGGGGTCTGCCGCGCGAACGCTCGATGTACGCCAGCCGACACGTGCGCATCAGCGCGAGATCCATTCAGGTATCGCACCCTTTCTCCGCGGAGCGGTGTTTCTCGACGTTCGCATGGTCCCCGGACATAGGTACAAGTGTCATTGACAATGATGTTCCAGAGTGAGAACCAGCCGTGCTGGAGACGGGTTTCTGCGGGGGGACGCGTGAAAAAGGGGCTGGTGGTCTGCGGGTGAGGGGCTCGTGGTGCTGAGGTAGGGGTCTGTGCTGCGCGGGTTGGTTGGCAGGGTGTCTTGGGTATTTTCGTGTCTCTCCTGTTGATCACCATCAGCTCTAGTGGTCATAGAGGCCAGCTGACTTCGCTCTTCCAGCCACTTTGTCACTCCTTGCATGGTGGGCTTGTTTTACGCTGTCGGGTGGAGAACTGGTTGGTCCCTTTCCGACGGGAAGCTGGGGCTGCGTACCTCTATCCTCGGATGAGGGTTGATTGATTAATTTTGGTGTGTCTGAGCAATTATACAGGGGTTCAAGTTTCATGAACAAGTTTCATGAAGAAGACTGTAGTTAACTCACAGATGAGGGTTTGTGTCACCATTTCGGTTTACAAGAACCAAACAACTATGTATGTACTTCTCTCTACATCTACCCACTTGTATACCTACAGCATGTGCAGGAAATAAGCGCCAGGCGCACAGCCAACCCCTCCAAACTCGAACCACTGGGCATTATCCATACATTTTCCTTCAAAGGTTAGCGTGTACTGTTGAGCTTCCGTCAGCTGCATCTGCGTTCCATTAAAGGAATTGATGAGCGATAATTGACGATCGATGATAGGTGCTGAGTGCTGACCTTACCGCCGCCGTTCAGCCCCGCGTTAACACTCACAAAACAATAAGTTATTTAAGTTATTTTTGGAATTGGTTTTCCACGTCTCAGTTCTTTTTCTGTCTCTCTTCTGGCCCCTTGATATATGCACTATCTTCCCTTGTGTACATCTGAAAAGTCTTCACATTTTTGGATGATGGCATTACTTCACCACGATGAAACTCACTCTTGGTAAATATCCCCTCGTCTACACATCTAATCAGGCGGATCTTACCAGTTGTCGGAGATACTGATTGATACCCTCTTTAGCCCTCCTCTACAGTGCAGCCCTGCTCTTCGATACTAGCCGCGCAACCCAGTTCCAGAATTTCTACCCCTTCTACCGGACCACCTTAACCACCGAGCGACCTGACTGCCACGCATACTACAATGCCTCCCTCGCCGCCCGCAACACCTCCGATCCCAACACCTGCAAGCACATGGCCGAGTGCCTGCTCGAAGGAGCCGGGGAGGTGAACAAAGGAGATTGGGCCTCGGCGACAGTGCTCCTGGGCCTCACCCCGTCGATCCTGGGGACGGTGGCACCCACGATCGAGGAGCGCCTGCAGCTGCTCCGCGAGCGGCCCATCCTCGGGTTTCTGGGCATCCTGGCCGCCCCGTCGCTGACGTTCGCAAGGCCCTGGGTCAAGCCCGACCATCCGGGCGACAAACCGACCACGTGGCTGCGTGAGCATACTGCAGGCAGAAACCCCAATGTGTACCGGAGTCTGGTGCAATATCTCGCGGTGGCGCTGGCCGCGGCTAACGTGCTGGAAAACGCCATCCGGCTCGGCAGCCAGACGATCATCAGCTGGAAATGCAATATGGGTTTTCTGGAGTTGGCGTGGGTGCTCCTCGCGCCGGTGCCATCTCTCGTGATGCTGGTTCTGCCACCCCTCGTGGCGCTGACAAACTCGGGGCTCGCGGTGCTGGGGGACTGCCTGGGCAGGCTTCTTTCCCGGGAGCATCCAGACACAACGGCAGGGACCCCCGCGAATGATCATGATGGAAGAGTGGATCTGGGCGAAGGGTTTTACAATGGGTTGGCGAACATCTGCGGGCTGGTGCATGTGGTGTATGGAACGATCGTGCTCTCCTCCGTGCAGTTCATCGGCACCTTGGACGCGCTCGGCGTGGTGGGGCGGTTCACAGCCTCTGCACTGGTGGCGCAGTTCATCACCATGACCCAGCTTTATGGCGGGTCTGGCACGAAGGAGAAGCGGAATGAGGGGAAGAAAAAGCAAGATGGTAGCCCATGGCTTGATAGGACAGGGGTTACTTCAAGGGTATACGGCCTAGAGGGGGATGATCGTTCATCAACGCAGACCCCGTCAAATGACCAGAAGGGAGCGGATGTCGAGGACCCGGTCTGAAGTTGGGGGATCGGACATACCAACATGTCAACATCTTCATGATTCTTTGCTTCCCCCCTGAAATTTCAAGCCCAAGATGCACACCTGCGCAGATTGTCGATGCGTCCGCTGGTTGGTCAAAGTGAGAATTCTTTCTACCTGCAGAGTTCCTGACATCTGTTTGCATAATGAACAATCGTCTGTTAGTCTGGGCATGCATTTGTCGTAGGGATCAACATGGAATATGTGTTTGACAGGTTATCGCGGGCATCCCTAGCCGTCTGGCAACTCACAGGCCGGATATAAAGAAGCCAGTACGAAGACGCAGGCCAATGGAAAGCTGCGGGGACTTTCCAAGCGGAGGAAGTGAACTGCACAGTCAATGGAACCCCGTATCTTTAAGGTGGTGGTAAATGTTGACTGTGATGGGTCACACCTCTCTTTGTTAGCCGAAGTGGAAGGTTCCTGTTATTCTTCACGTAAGCCCCGTTTGCCATCAGATGCTCTTCTCGATCTCTTTCAAGCGTCCATTCTCTTAGCAAGGGTGAACAATGGCAGTGATCATACATCTGCTGCGTGATCATGCAGATAAAGACCAACTATGCAGCAACCTGTATGGAGCACAATGGGCTTGCTGGGCCGGGGGTATGGCAACGACCTACATCTCAAGGTCAGTGCTTTCTCTTCGTGAAAGACCCGTGCAGACCTGGCAAGAAGGAATAGGTGTAACCTCCTGATCGCTAACCTTATTGAACCCTTCACAGGCCGCGCCAATGTCAGTACGTTGGCTATGGCTTTTAATCGATCGTCATTCATTTCAAGCCCTTGGGCAACGAGCCATTGCGACCAGGGATTGCTTGAAAGGCCGGTTGTCTCAGTCTTCCACTATTTTTGAAACCTGAGCAACCTGTCCACTTTGCTTCTCCTGCCTCTCCACTTGACATTGTACAATCTTCCAAGGGACCGCGACTCAACATGGCAGCGTGGCTCAACTATTTCCAGATCGTCAACCCCACTCTTACTTTCGCCAACATTCTACATCTGCCGTCCTTCATCAAGCAATGTATGAGATGCATTTTCAACGCAGCGGATATCGATCGGCAGAGTGATAGTATGCACGCGACTGCTTGTGAGGAGATCGTCATGTATCACGAATCGATCGACACGCTAGAAGGGCTCCACGGCGAAGATTTCCGCCCGCTGCGACGTGACTTTCTTGACCAAGAAACCTTGAAGAAGCTGAAAAAGTTGAACGATATACTTGAGTCGAAGAACGGAGGGTCAAAATCGCTGAAGGTCAAAGTTTTGCTCCTCCAGGATCTACTCAACAATTTCCAGTATCTTCTCGGGGTCAAGCAGCTGCAGCTGCCCGAGGAGTACCTTGTAGGTCTACAATCTCATATCACATTCCAGGTGCAGGCAAAAAAAAGCTTATCTCAAGACCACAGGCCCACCCAAAGCTAGCCTCCGAAGAGCTTCGTTCTGGGGTGAGGTGGCAACAGTCCCCAAATAGTGGAACTGCAGCGCACGGAGACATCGAATCTTTGCAGTCAAACAACAATTTGAAGCCCTCATCGCCAACGTTTTGGACTCGCCTATGGTTCTGTCTTGCGAAGGATACAATCTCCGAAGCACTTTTGCTCATCAACAAGCGTACTATGGACCTGAGTGAAGATTCAAAGGGGATTGAGGAGGTATTGGGAAAGAAGCCGACACCACCACCGACAAATCCGCAAGGCGCAACCTCGCCTTCTATAGGGGATAGTAGCACAAGCACCCCGGGCTTGGACGGCGGGTTTGAGATGCGGAATTTTGGATAAAGCAGACGCCTTTGGTTCTACATCTTACGACCTGGGTTGAAGCATCTACATCCATTCCTCTTCTTCTCTGATCTCCCCTCCTGTTTTTTCCCCACCCTCTCTCAGTGTCAGCCTCTCTCCTACCGCTTGTACCCATCTCTCGGTAGATTTCCTCTGTGTCTCTTCATGTCTTTCTCAAGATTCTTACAGGTCATGGCTCAATTGTATGTGCTTTGTCTTCATGTCGCTATCCATACTCATCTTGTTCTTGTCCTCTTCTGTTGGATTGTACGTCCACGCTTTGAATTCGTGTTTCCTCACGACTTAATGCTGGATGGAGCCAGAAAAGCTCATCCTGTTCATTGTATGTGTGTCGTCCAAGATTGGTCATAGGATTCACGGTACCATGGGTCTCCACGATGCTCACAAGGGCCATATCAGCTATTCCGGTGGATCCCGGTACTCGGGGGGTCGCATCTTGGAGGTTGTCCGTTGCTCAGGGCAGCACATGTGACGGGCCATGGCTGATGTGGCAGGTATATAAGCTTCTCGATGTCTCTTCTTGTGATGTTCCTCCATCAACAAGCATCCAGAAAGTCTGAAGTAGTTCTCGAGAGGAACGATCTCAGACCCGAAGCCCGCTTGGATATATTAACCTTCCCACGCAGCTTATATACAACACCCAACACCTCGAAAATGGGTTTAGTGGATGATCTGGTGGCGTATTGTAACCTACCGCACGCGGGATTCCCTAACAATGTGGATCTGATGGAGAAGGCGCGTCGGTGCACGGCGCTGGAGGCCGAGATCCTGAACAACCTGCCCAAGGACCTCGGTGATGACATTAACGCCAATAATCTCCATTCCCTCTATGGCTACGAGCATGTCGCCGATCGCTTGGAGAGGCTGGGCCTCACTGTCGTCGGCGCTGGTGACGGCTACACTTTCACGGAGATCAGCAAGCTACGCATCTTCCCCATGGCCCAACAGTCGATCTGCCTGGACTTGGTCTTCCTGGAGGAAGCCCTGCGGGCCCTCAAGGAGAGCTGCGACGCGCGCCTGCGGCTCGAGACGGAAGGCGTCATCCGCAACCTGGGCCTGCTCTTCTGGGGGATCGAGCCCCTCCGGAAAGTCGGCGAGAGAGTGTACACTCGCCTGAAGGAGCTCGAAGAGGCGGTAGAATCAAGAATGGTGGAGAAGTCGAAGGCCGAGCAGCGTGGGGACAGCATATGGGAAGACTTTTGGCTGCTGAACCGCAACGAGCGCGGTGAGCAATTCCGCGCGGACGCACTGCGGGGACTCCAGGCCAGGTATCCCAGAGCCGATCTGGATCTCTGCAAACGGATCGCGCACCGAATGAGCGCCTGCTGGAAGCTCCTGAGCTTCCGCTTGCTAGATAATCGACTAGGGTCTCACACGGTGAATCCTGCCATTCTTGGGCCCCAGCAGCAGCAGCAGCAGCGGCAGCTTCTCTTGCCTCCCCCGCCACAGCCCCCGGCCGATGCGACAGAGCACGTGTGCCCCTACTGTAGTGACGTGCTGCCCGTCTCGGTGTACCAGACCCCGGCCATGTGGCAGCACCACGTGCTTTACGACTATTCGCCATACATCTGCCTGGCGAAGGAGTGTTGGGGGAATTGCACGTTCGCCCGCCCGGACGATTGGGTCAACCATATGCGGGGGCACGGCGGGCACTGGGAATGCAGCGCGCCAGGGTGTGAGCAGGACACCGTCTCCTTCGGACCAGACGACGGCGACAAAGTCCAGAGGCATGCGCAGTTGGTCCATGGCTGGGATAAGCTGCCCGCCAGCGCACTCACCCACGTCCCTGCGGCCCGACTGGAATTCACCGAGTGTCCCCTCTGCAAGGAACCGTTCTCGGGCGACGGCCCGGAGGAGGACATCAAGTGGCATCTGGCGGCGCATGTCGAGACGGAGATGCTGTCGATCCGGCCGTTGGTTGACTATGCCCAAACGCATTCCGAGTAGGGGATGTGCTTTTGTTTCCCCCTTAGGTCGACTAGAATCTACTTGGTCTGTATCCGCATAGACAAACCTAGGATCGATCCCCTGGATTCTAGCGGCCTAGTTCTTTCCTGACTTAGCATAATTGAGCATACATTTTGAAAACCTGGTTCCCGAAGGATTTTCTTATCCGTCTTTCTTACTAACCGATACCCCCCCCCCCCCCCCGTTTGATAGTTGTAAAACATGTATTTCGCCATTTGTACAGTGCTAACTCTCGAATGATCTCTGAACAAGTTCTAATGACCTTTCTACTATGCCTTTGGAGGATGGATTCGAACTTGATATTCAAGGGATTGATGATCAAAGGATAAATTGAAAGGAAGTAGGCCTAGCCCTAGGCATACTAGTAAAAAGGAAATTCGATTACCTTTAGCAGCCATCTCACAACTCATTCATCATATGGTGGAGATTACAGCTTTTGGTGGGGGGACCCCGGGGTGTTTCGTAGAAATCCGTGGCTCCGAGCTTCGTCGGCAGGTTTCCCGTCCCCGGGCCACACACAGCCCTAACTGCCCTGCTCTGTCATGGGGCATCTCTTGACCAGTGATATACAGTATTTCAGACTGAGATAAGTAGGTGAGAGTTAGGTACTCTACTCCCCGGCTCCTACTTCTGGCACAACTATTGCGTGCTCCACCTTATCGCTCCCCGCAAACCAACACATCTCCCCCCGGCAAGGCTGCTTGCTTTACAGTCTGAACCCTGCCCATTCTCTCCATTACCCACACCGACACCGAATGAGTTTCAATGGCGCCCAGGGAAACGAGTCGTGGTCGTGGGCAGAGGCCCGCCGCCGCCAGCAACTTCGAACGTCAATCTAAGCACGAGAATATACTATTATTCTGTGTACGCATCACAAGAATGTGGCAATGATATCTGCTATCGGCTTTGCCGGACAACCAAAGGGAATCACACCTCGATCCAAGGGATATTGTCAGAAGTGTAGGGACTTGATGAGTTGAAGGGCATGCAGCAACCACGGCGTGGCTTCGATTTGTTGCTCTCCTGTTTTTAATATTCCGTAAATACTTCTACTTAGTAAGAGGTATCACGCGCGCTTTTCTATGCGAGTTTCTTAGATATGAGAGACTGATGGAAAGACAATTAGACTCATGGTTTTATGGTAACAATGGGGCTAGGCGCTCGTATAACTTATCGTGGATTAACGTTCCGTCTTCCATTTCCGGCGTCCGGGCAGGAAACCTAAAACAACCTCCCTGCCGCCTGGAACGAGTGCGAACACGAGAGGCTTTACTGCGCCTCCTTTCTCCTTTATTTATTGAATTTATCGTTTTTCCAACATAAGCCGGAGCAGGATCGACGTGGTTTCCCTGGTAGAGGACTTGGCATTGAATTGGAGAGAGCTCTCTATACAGCTTAGATCTGTCCGGAACTGGGCCACTCGGCAATGTTAAAGCATTCCAAATAGCAAGTCACAGGCACGGTGTGGATCTAATCATCTGAGTGAAATTGTGTGTTAGAAGATCCTAGTAGGAGCTCATCCCAAGCAGACCCTGGAGAAATTCGAAATAGGTGGACTGTAACCGTCGTGTTCACCCGGCAAGAGCCTTGCCGGTAGGACTGCATTCGGCGTTGAATCAATCATATAACCGTCGCATTGTCTTGAACACACGCAACACCAGCACAATCTACTTCGCATCCGTATCGACCCGGGGGTTTCACGGTCAAGATTTTGACGGCTACGAAATAACGTTTAAAGTTGACGACAGCTTGTCCAACGTCATATGCCAACTTTGTTTAACCTCGTTTAACAATAGTGTTCTCCCATGGGAATTCCACCATTTAGGGTTCGGCCACCCGTCCAGCCACCACGGTTGGAGATGCGAGCTTATCGAACTCGACTGGTTCGCTCCTCTGGTTGACTGCCATTGAGATTCCGATTCTCTGGGCGCATCGTATTTGGCAGAGGGCTTGTTTGAATCCGCCACATGAATGCTAGTCGAGTTTCCGCTACTCTTGCGGCTTTAGCTGTAGGTTGTAGCTGGTACGAGCGACGCGTCACGCGCTTCGGATCAGTGCGTTCCAAACGAACAAGGAGAGGCTGGTGACTTCCTCGGAACTCTATGCTGTTCAGGTTCTTTCCTTGGCATGACCTGACGACTGTCTCGTCGTCTTTGTCTAGCAGGCCTAGCCCCAAGCTATAGCAGCTATGAGTAGTTGTCTAGAACCTCGTGGTACGTGACTGCTAGGGTATATAGATGCTGCAATTCTTCTTGCTCCCGACACCAGCACATCGCCTGGGTGCTCCAAGTACCTGCGTACTACCGAACCATTCAACCTGAGCAGCCAAACATCATCAACTCGACAAGCGCGATATGTACGTCGACATATTGAGAGTCCTCATTGTGGTCTGGCCTCTTGTTCTGGCCGCTGTCGAGGCGCAGGATGGTCAATGTTCCGCTCAGAGATGCTATAGAAATTGTGTGGATGAGAGTGATGAGTGCGTTGAATACTGTCGGGGGACAGCAAGGAGGATGCGGAATCGAAAGAATGCGGGGCTCTTCCGGCAGCGGTGTTTTCTCGAATGCGACAAGGAGATCAAGGGCTGCTTCAAGGGGTGCGACGCTGCATGTCCGCGCCGCGTCGAAGGGCCTCTCGAGACCTGTAACGGCAATTGCTTGCAGACTGCGCTGGACGGCGTGGACCGATGCTTCAATGGGACCGCGCCCCGCCACGACTGCCTTGCCGCAAACCAGGAGAACTGGCAATCTTGCGAGGAGAATTGCCAGGACAAGGCACCACAGACGCAGGCACCGGCCACCCCTGCTGCCACGCCTCCACCTGCGGCAGATCCCCCTCCACCAGCGCCTACGGAGACCCCATTTGAGTCTGCCATCGGATGCGGGGAGTTTGATCGATATCTGAACGTGTATGGCGCATGCCTGGCCCCATGCTTTTTTAATCTCTGTTTGAATGGCGAGAAGTGCAGCGGAGAGGCCGGGAAGTGCGGTCTGGGCAGCGAATGCGAGGCAGCAAACAAACAGTGTACAAGCGACGGGGTCAAGACTTATGAATCGTGTGTACGTGCGTGTCAATCTTAGGCAAGCCATCGATTGGCTTTGTGCTATCTAGCAATTGCTGTGATGGGTGGTTGCCGTTGTGGAGATCGACGATGGGTCAGTGTTATCAGTGTATTTATTGCGCGGACTAGTTCAACCGCATGTCGAGACTGTGCTGTATAGGCTTCCATGGTTTGACTGTATTCGGTTCTTTAGTTTCTATCCTAGGGGTGGTGTCGTAAGCCGCTGGATGGGTGAAGGGCACCAGGGGCTACAACGCCCCGAGGAACCGAGGTTTGGAAATCCTTGCTGTGATACCTATATTACCTAACACTTCTCCCTTCTTTGGACAGCGCTTCCATAGCCATTTCATTCAATCATAACGAGTTCACTAACTTGTTCGGGCTGATAAGAGTTGTTGTCAGGCATTCTGCCGGCAGAACGGGGGGTTACTTTCACATGGCATAAGCACATTGCCTATAAATTAGTCTGTATATGAGTCTAGGTCAGGGGTAAACAGTGTTGGGAACCTTATAGTCTCCTGCAACAAGATTCATGATTGAGTTCCAGAGATCTGTGTGCTGAAACCTGATTGATGCGGGTTGGTACAGCACATCATTGACTGTAACTACTAATTGCACGGTAAATTCCCGTTTTGAAAGTGGCCTAACCTAACTTACTTCAGGAGCGTCATGGGAAGCCCCGCGTTGTCCTTTACCCCTCAGCACCGAGCACGAATTCACTTCACTCCAGATTACTGATTACTGATAGCTGCAACGCTGATTGCGATTGCTCGTTCGACAGGAAGAAAGTAGCTTCCGGGCCCCTCCTGGCAGCGTTGGATCAACAGACTGTCCCTCAGACAACTGATACTCCATTCTGGATGTCCATCTGGTTCTATTCGATCCATACCACTCAGCTAGCGGTCGCCCACTTCATGAAGCATGAAAACATCCTCCCCACCACCCAGGAATCGTCAAAACGCCGATCTGGTCCCCGAAGAAACTGGCTACGCTGTGTGAGTTTCGCCTCTATAACCATCCCGGTCCAATGGACGGCCCGGAAATTCTGTCTGTCATTTATCGGTGGCGGAGGACCAGCTCCTGCAACTGTTGGGCTCGGAGGAGTGGTAGAGGTCGTGGTTCGTGAGCAAAGGATCTGCGAAATCTGGGACCGAATCTTCATGGGAGGCAGATGCACGTGCGTGACTTCACATTCACGTTAATATAAATTAATCAATTAACCCTGCCGAGGGACGGTGATGTTCGCCACCAATCGAATCGATCTTCCTCCCGGCATGCTTGGCGGTTCATCTTACCACTGGGTGGTAGGTAGGCTTTGAGTGCCTAAGTACGGTGCCTAATGGTCTGGTTAAATTAAGTCCATCCCCTCCATGGTAGGAGAGGCATTGAGATTCGCTTGGCTATTGGAGGAAGTATTGGTATGGTGTGAAAACAATCCATCAGCACCACCCATGATTGAAAGAGGGGTTGAGTGGGTAGGATAGTGGCCCTGAGAACATCTTTATTACTCCCAGTAGTTTATTACTCCCTCAATCTTCTTCTTTGGTCGCATTCTAGCTCCAAGCGTCTGATCTTACTACAGAATCCTACAAGAGTCTCCTCTTCCCGAGTCATGATGTCTCTAGTCTTCGCCGTTCTCTGTCTGGTGGCAGTTCGTGCCCTGGCCACTGAACATCTTCTTCCTTTCAAACGCGCTGCAGACGTGAGCCAGACCGGCATTGCCCCGGAGAAAGACATCACGCTGTACTACCAGGCCGCGAGTCAGCCCTTGACAGCCGCCACGGTGGATGCTCAAATGAAACTGCCAACGGTGGTCCTGGAGGAGATTACCACCATTTCCAGTGTCAGCTGCTCGGCCGAAGCAGTGGAAGTCGTCTTTGCCAGCACGGCTGACTATCAGCGCAGCGTCTCCGCATGGCCCTCGTCCAGCTTCATTCTACTCACCAACCACCTGGGCAACTGCGACGCGGAGAACGAACGCGGCGTCTACTTGGTCGACTCAAGCACCGTAGGCAGCGCCAACAACACCATCACGGCCCAGACCACCCGCAGCTCGTTCCGAGACCAGGCGCAGTTGATCTCGGTGCTCTTCAATGCGAGCGCGGTGGCATCTCGCAAGCGCGACTGGACCATCTCCGTCTCGGACGAGTGGTCGGGCGAGCTGATCGATATCAAGGATCTGGCCATCGACGTGCAGGATGTCAGCCTGAGCACCACCCTGGACCTGAGCGGCGGGGTGGAGCTCGATGTGACCAACTCGACGGCGACAAGCCTCTACCTGGAGCTGGATCTTGCCCTTTGGGCTGAGCTGAACGTGTCTGCGCAGGCGACCGCCGCCTATTCCACGGATCTCTGGAGCTACACCTACGACGCCTTGTCGGTCTCCGCATTCGAGATCACCGGGATCCTCAGTGTCGGCCCCTCCCTGACCCTGGGTGTCGGCGTCGAATTCGGAGTCACCGGCGAAGCGAACATCACCGCGGACCTATCGACGCAGATCACCAGCGGCACCATCTACCTCGACCTGCTGCACAGCGGCGCCTCCACATCGTCGGGCTGGACTCCCACACAGACTGCATCAGCGACCCTGTCCGGCGAGGTCGATGCGCAGCTGAATCCCTTCGCGGATGTGGAACTCGCGGTGGGGGTGAATGTCCTCGACGGTCTGCTCGAGGTCTCCGCCGGCGTCGAGGCCAGGGCCGAGGTCGTGAATAGCTTCTCGGTGGCGGGCGCCGCGGATGTCAGCTCGACCACGGGTGTGACGGCTGTGACTGGAACGGGTGCTTGCAGCAATGGCTACTGGTTCACGAGCGACTTTGTTTTTGATGTGGACGCGTTCGTGACCAGCCTTTACTCGGTGACTCTGTACACGGTGACGCTTCCGATCTTTGCGACGGAATGCTTGGCTTTTTGATCCCAACCAGAATGATGGCGGTCGACGAATATTGGTTTCGCTGCTGTGTGGGTCCGCAATCAGAGATCGAGTCGGATTTGATGTATTGGGGTTTATATATTCAGCTTGTTCTTGGACACCTGGGATTGTTATCAGCTTAGCTGCAACAATCCGACGATCCACCGCATACATATTCTTAGCAGTATGAGCAGAGTTGCCTCCGTGAAAAGATTACAGATCTTCCCTTTCAGAGCTTGCCCAATAAGACAACTTGTTCATGGAGCAATGCGTGAGAAGGTCGCGCCACCAGGCCAAGTATCAGGGTTGGTACGGGATTGCATTAGTATATGTATATACTTCATGGGTAGTGCCGCCCTATCACCATTTCTCTTCACAGCACTGCAACAAACCATACCTAGACTCATTGAAGTGTCTACTAAAAAAAGAAAGAAGAAGTAGGGGAAAAGATCATGGATCCATTGATGAAGATAGGAACGAGAAGAACGAGGGGCAAAAAAAAAACATACAACAGAAGGGATTCGCTGGTGGTCACCCACCCAACTACTAACCTCCCGGCGTGTGGCTTAAGTACGGCTGAGCGGACGGGAAGCCCTGTTTTCCACACCCTGTGGTCGTATGTACTTGGCAGTCAGCCACAGTATCCTCTATAGCTTGTTATCTTCAATGCGGCAAGTCCTCTAGATTGCCCTTACTTCATGGCCTTGCTTGTATGACAACACTGGTTGCTCTCAACTTCTGCTCCAGTCTCGCGACCACTCCGCTGGCTCGATGTACTTCGGTCTGCGTATCTCTCACCTCGAGAATGCCCGAAGATGCATGGGTACTTCAACCCGCTGCGTGCAATCACTCGTTCCGAATGCTGTACTGTACATATGGATAGCCCCAGATCGTACGAAGCATGTTTTCTCCTTTCACAGCTCAAAGCATTACTATTTCCTGGGAGTCCCATGCATTGTCGCAGTTTCGATTCATGCCTTACTGTAGCAGTTGTCCAGGGTTTCCATTCTGGCGTGACGGTAAGAGATTCCTCCTGTGCTGCCCGAAGGGTATTACCAACCCGCGTGTCAATTAATGAAGTACCTCGAGTAGGGACCTCATCATAGGATGCCATGCAAAGCTCCTACGTATCTACAGCATGCACCTGGAACAGAGGGACTTTGACCAAGCTCCGAGCATGTGTCGCAGCCCAACTTGCCCCTTGAGCATTAAGTCTGGAAGGCCCTGCCGGGTTACATTCGCAGAACAACCCAGAAGTATACCAAAACCAGCTGCCAAGGTATCTGCTGAAGACCCTTTATCGCAGTGTTTACAAACAGTTTTACCCAGGCTGACTCACAAATCTTCGCCGCCGGGTGGGGATAGCCGGTGATCTGCTATAGCAGGGACCCCTGCCGTATAATTCGATTATCAGGGCGCTGCTGATTGGGCTTGAGGTCTTGTGCCTTATGCTTTTGCCACAACTTCCAGATGGCGAAGGTTATCATGAGTATGTGTAAGAGCTGATAAAGGCGATTGTAATCTGCTTTGTTATGCGGATCGTGGGAGCTTTGCTCGGTGGCTGTACGCATCTGTGCAGATCTCCACAGGTCATGTCCTGTGCATACCCAGCACTACGTGGAAAAGGTTGAAATGATCAGCAGAATGCACTCGTGCTTCCAGGCAGCATCCAGGTAGAGGGCAGCCGGGTAGTCTCATACAATCCCACAGCTGCTGCGCGGGCAACGTAGTCACATGCCCGTTGACTACCGAACTGAAACCGCCAGACGCTCCAGAATCTTCTTCTGGGATCACGAAGAGCGGTCAGCAACAATCCATACGCAAGTATTAGGGGTTCGTCAGCATCTTGTATCTCTTTCAAGAGCTATCTGACTGAGAAACACGGATGGACACCACGAGATCCTTCGCGAAACCACCATCGCCCATTTACTTTCTCCGCAACCTGCTGACGCTGACACTGGAGACTCCGTTGAGGCACCATCGTCTAGTCTACTCTCTACCAGTCCTCAGTCATGTTGATCATAAGCGGATTCGCCTCCGACTAACCCCCGCCACCCCATAGACAATGACGCCAAGCTGATGCTGTAGACTGGGGTACATTCTCCAGAAAACGCAGATGCTACCGAGCAAGTTTACTGCCGGAACGCCACGGCATCTTTACAAACCCACCCACCCCCCAGACCACGCTTACGCGAGATTGGGTTTTAGTCCGAAGTCGGATTTATAATGGCATTCCAAACGGGACCGACCATTGACTACGACTCGTCGGTTCCAGCGTTATCAGCGGCCAACGCTGCCGCCGTCAGTAAAGTAGTGGTGGATCCCCTGGGCCGTGGAGAAGGGGAGGCGAAAAGGGCAGAGATACGAGATTTCTCCTCGCTGGGTCCTGACGAGTAAGAAGAGGCAGCAGGGGGTGGGTTTCTCCCCGCTGCAACGAAGACATGCGACGTGGGAGGGAGGGTTTGAGACCTGGTACGGATGTTCCTGTGTGTTTACTCCGGATGCTCGGCGAGAAAGAGGATAACATGCCGTATTGCATGTACCCCAGGCGGCAAGGTGCGTATCTCGGTAGCGAGGCAAATTGGTAGGTCCGGGTATCGGCATTTCGAAGTTGTGCATAATGCAGACAGGATGGGTGAGGAATTCTGCTGTGATCAGCCCTGGTTATCTCCGGTATACTGTATACAGTGTGTTGGGTAGTATATACTGACCTAGTATAGTGGTTAGTGGTTAGGCGGCAGATCGGGGCCCGAGGCACCGGGCGGTGAAGGGCGCAAATGGTCGACCGGAGCCGGGCCGGGAGCCGGTATGAAGCAGAACAGAACGAATGGATGGGATTGCTGTTACTTCATCGCCTGTCCACACTGCCTCTTTGGGGAGGCAATCACCGACCCGGTTGGCTTGAGCTGTCTGAGATTCTGAACTATCCTAGGTCTCCTCCGGGGCAACACCACGAGAAGCCCTCTGATTCCCCAGATCGAACTGTTGTCTTCCCCTCAATTTGGGGTAGAGCGGATTTCCGGGGGAAAAGGACGCATGGTTTCTTGATTTTGTGTGGTTTTCTTGATCGGGGGGCTGTCTACGGATTATTTACCCATGATATCACCACTTGAGAAGGGAAGTGATTAGACTAGTAGGCGGGCCCAAAAAAAAGGGAATGGTAGTTTTTAGCTAGCCAAGCGGTTGATTCACCAGACTAGTCGCCTTCTAGAATGGAGTGGCGGCGTCGAGGCGGCGTTCACCGGGCATTGAACAGGTCCGGCCACCGGTGAGCTCGCCAGTGCTATTGGATTATTGGGTGCGATTTGCTGCCGTTGGCTGGGTTTCCTCATTTCCCCAGATCCATGAGTTCCATGACCCAACCCTAATAATGCCCTTGGCTTGGCTAGGTTGTCGCTGCACGTGGAGACGTCTTGGGCTCTGGCTCAGCCATTCCACTGGCCCGACATGGCAATTTCCATGAGCAATCGATTCTTCTTCGCTTGGCCGGGGCAAACTTTCTCCGCATCTTCTGCTGCAGGTGTAACACAGACCGTGGAGACATTTCCCAAGCGTTCGTCTGGAATAGGAAAGGCAGGCGACATGCCAGCCAGGTGCAGTGCAGTGGTGCCAGGTGGTGCAGGCATAAAAATCGTTCAGATGGATGGCTGAGTCAGCACCTGCGCCGTGGAATCCTTGCCGCATGCGGACTAGAGCCAGCTGGGCCTTACGGTTTCAGGTTTAGTGATGACCCGAATCAGGACTAGTCCCGCCGGGAGGCGCAGATTTTGCCCTGGATGGATGAAGGATGAAGAATGAAGGTTCTTTTTTTTGCCGCCCATTGCATGCTAGGTAGACAAGTAGTGGCAGTACATGTGCATGCTTGATAAGATGAATCTCGGTATCTCCATCTAATTCCTGCTGCATTATTCTTACCGTCTTGACTCGGATGCACGTCCCTACCTGGCCCTGACTCAGTTGTAGTCTCTCCCCCATTCTCATTACCCAACACCATTATCCCATCCCCTCGTGATAACACTGAGGGTCAGCCCCGTCCTCCCATGGAAATTTCTACAAGGCTTGTATGTTTCCGGAGGACGGATGTAGCCATGGGCAAATGCGAGCAAGACCTCACTAAGCGAGATAGCCACGCTTGGGCCATCTAGGGCTGTGGCAGCAGCTGCCATTGATTTATCTATACGGGGTGCCTACTGCGCAGTAACTGTCGCTGGGGAGCAACTTCGGGAGAATTACTTCAGCCCCGTGCATAGCTATCTCTTTTCCATCCCAGGCTCCCAGCTGATCAGGGTGATCCATGCAGGTTGAGGTCATGGATCCAGCTGGTGAGAGCAGGAGCTGTCAGCCAGGATTCAAGATCAGGTACCGGACCACTGGGGCCGGGGGTTAGTCGCCTGAAACCACTGATAAAACGTAAAGCAAACGATACTGCGTACACATTGACTTGTCGAGCGGACATTATCAGCGGACGGAATTCTGGGTTCGGCCGGACGACTCCACCTGTAACAGTGATGATTGTTACCGGTTTGGGTGGCAGTCTGGTAAAGTGTTGGACCCCCCCCACACAGATTCCCCCAAGTGTGAAAAAGCCTAAATCTGCCGATCCGCCGTGGATGCAACGAAGCGACTGCGGCCAGCCCGGGCTCTTCTTTTTCTTATATCCTCCCTCCACCTTTGGAGTCCCCGTCTCTTTCTTTTCTCTCCTCTTCTTCTTCTTGAAAGTTGGCCCGTTGACTTGGTTGTTGCTGCGCCCTATCATTCATCTCTTGCTGCTACTGTGTTACTGACTGACTACGCTTTACGACTCAACTCACGACACTCTCCTCTCCTCCCCATCGCCACTCTTGCCCTTCCTTTGTTTTTTCTACTCTCCCCGTCACTATGACCAGCCACGGTAGAGATGTTGAGGCCTTCGATGCCCACCAGCAGTACCACGACGAAGACGAAAAGATCGAGAAGGTCGCCCCCAATGAGTCCCCCCCGGCCGATGACCCGTTCGGCAACGAAGAGATGGCCGAAGTCAAGTTCCGCACGATGAAATGGTGGAATTGCGGCATGCGTGAGTTTTGTTGTCTCTTAGGGCACCGTGCCCGTCCGCCAGCGTCCGCCATCTAAACAAAGCCCCTTCCTTAGTCATGATCGCCGAAAACATTTCGCTGGGTATTCTGTCGCTGCCCTCTGCGGTCGCCACCTTGGGTATCGTCCCGTAAGTGTTTATCTAACCCTAATCCAACAGAGACATGTTTGGCAGTACCGTCAGACTAACCTCCTGGTCAGCTCCATTCTCATCATCCTGGGAATGTCGGGTATCTCCTGGTACACCGGTTATGTGATGGGCCAGTTCAAGCTGCGCTATCCCCAAGTCCACAGCATGGGAGACGCTGGAGAGCTGCTCATGGGTCGCATCGGACGCGAGATCATGTTCTTCGGCCAGCTGCTGTTCTGCATCTTCCTGATGTCCAGTCACGTGCTCACCTTCACGGTGCTGTTCAACACCATCACCGGCCACGGCACCTGCACCATCGTCTTCGGCGTGGTCGGGCTGGTCATCAGTTGTATCTTCGCCCTGCCTCGCACCATGGGCAAGGTGTACTACATGTCCATCGTTTGTAAGGCGTCCCCGCATGTCAGTTTCGCAGGTGCATGTTATTGATCGGTTACGACAGCCTGCCTGAGTATCATCGTCGCCACCGTCGTCACGATGATTGCGCTTGGAGTTGAGGCCCCGGCTCACGTCCAGAACGACGTGACCACCCACCCGAGCTTCGTCAATGCTTTCTTGGCCGTTACCAACATCATCTTCGCTTTCAGTAAGCGTCATCCCGGGTCCTGTGGGTTTCGTTGGGGATGGGTGCTGACCACTTCATAGTTGCCCACGTGGCTTTCTTCGGTATCATGTCCGAGATGGAGGATGTGCGGGACTTCCCCAAGTCCCTGGCCATGCTGCAGGTGCTCGACACGACCATGTACATCATCACCGCGATGGTCATCTACCGCTACGCCGGACCGGACGTCAAGTCTCCGGCTTTGTCTTCCGCCGGCCCGCTCATGAGCAAGGTTGCCTACGGTCTTGCCATTCCTACGGTATGTCCAGTTCATGGGGGTGATTGTCACGATTCTGCGTGCTGATTTCATTGTTAGGTCATCATCGCCGGTGTCATCTTCGGCCACGTCGCCTGCAAGTACATCTTCGTGCGGGTGTGGCGTGGGTCTCCCCAGATGCACACGAACAGCCCCGCCGTGGTCGGATCGTGGATTGGTATCGCCTTGGGTGTGTGGGTGATCGCCTGGGTGATTGCCGAGTCCATCCCCGTGTTCAACGACCTGTTGAGTCTGATTGTACGTGTGGGAGTTTCCCTTGTGCCCGGTTCGCTCACTAATTACGTCGGTCATTTAGTGCTCTCTCTTCGGCAGTTGGTTCAGTTGTAAGTGTCTCGCACTGGCTTCCATCTCTCTATGCGATGCTAATAATTCTTCAGATGGTATTCCCGCTCTCATGTGGATGATCATGAACAAGGGCCAATACACCGCGACCCCTTCGAAGATCTTCCTGACTATCGTCAACCTAATCATCCTCGGTATTGCGTGCGCGATTGTGAGTTCCATCCCTTCTAGGTTTGGGTTCGAGGGCATCTTACTAATAATATCGCAATCGCAGTGCGGTCTCGGACTCTACGTCTCCGGCAAATCCATCCACGACAGCACCTCCTCGGCCAGCTGGACTTGTGCCAACAACGCTCAGTCGTAATCATTTCAAGCTGAGAAGTGGCTAGCTGGCGAGTGGACGCCCCCGCCGGCAGCGACCGAGCTTTCCTTTTATCTATACATACGTGCATTGCATCCTTATACATATACATACATAGCTGGTCCCGGATTTAGCTGGGCTGTCTGGGTCTTTTTTTGCGGTGTTGGGGTTAGTTTACGACTTGTTTTCTAGCAGGCATTTCTGTGAGATATAGTTTATAGTTTATGCAGGGGTTCTGTACATGAGTCAGTCGGTGATTTTGTGGAGTAGCGTAGAGTTTGCTTGGTAGTCTCCGGGAGAGGTTTGTCTGGTCTAGCGTAGATAGGGCAGATGCCAAGGATGGATTAGTCGAGTGGACTGCGGAGGCAGTGGGCGGTCGAGGTTAAGGATCGATGAGGAATAGTACATACAGCAGCACACTAAGGACAAACACTAACATTAACTTTGAGCATTGCAGTGGTTCTCGTGAGGGGACCTTAATCTGTTGTGTGACCAGATCGGGCTAGGAGCAGATAGCTTATCTTGACCGTCACTTTGTGACCTGGTGAATGTGCTATTGTTGTCGGAGAATAGAACTGACTGTACTGTACATTCGGAGAACTACGATATCCAAATCGATATTCTAGACCCTTATGCTGCTGTGCAGGTCCCACCACGATAATGATCGAGTCTACATCCATGCTTCAGATGATCACGCGACTGCTTTCCAAATTCGAGCAGTGGCTGTCTACCGCTTCAGATACACGAGTAGAAGAGTAGGATAGAACACACTGCATAATCTCTACCTCTCACTCCCCATAGATTGACTCGTCAATCTACATCTACACGAGCATCCTCCCCTCTCTCATCCAGCCCTCCAACCAACCCTCCAGTCCAGTCCCCGACACACACGTGGATCACCACCTAACGCACGGCCCCTCCCGGCCTCGGGTACCTTAATCTCTCTAGGGCAAATTCCTCCCAAATTGTTCTGCCTGATCACCACCGACCCACATTTGGGGACTGTCAACGAATGATCGGCTGTATCGCCAACGCCAAGCGGGCTCCCAGCTACCAGTGGGAGTTCTTGCAGGCTTTTTTTTCCCCCTCGACCGATTAGGCACTGTACAAGTGTGGCTTAGCCTGGTTGGTTTTCGAGGTGATTGACGAACGCCTCTTCCCGATCCCCGGGTTGATTCTTTGTGGGAGGGGAGGGTTCTAGCGCCGTGCTCTTTGTTCTCGTCTGAGAATTACTGTTTTTAGTTTCAGGGAAACGGGGAAGTAATTAAGCACACGACGTAACCTCCCCCCTCTCGCCCCCCTGTCCTAGGACAGACGATCGATCGAGGACAGGGAATGCCGAGAGCTCTCCAAGAGACAGCGCCCAGCTGCCCAGCCCTATCGGCGTCATCGCCTAGCCCTTAGTCTTTTCGGGAGTGGGGCGGGGGATGTTGGCACTTGGCAGCCAGAAAATGAACCAGTCCTGTTTCTTCGGGAGTACGGGGTACTTAAGTGGGATGTTGCGCTGCTGGACGTACCTGGGAAGGTACGTGCGTGCGTGCGTGTGTTGTGCTGGGTTGTGCTGGGTTGAAGGTCAACGTTGCTGGGTGGAAACCGAAACCGAAACCGACTCCAACTCCGCGGGATGGATGATTGTTATTGTCGGCCATCAATACGGGGAGGTGACTGCAACTGAGTACCAAGATTATCTGTGAAAATAGAGGCCGACGCAATCAACAACCATGCCTCTCCGACCACTGCAGCTGGTCCAGGCCATCGTGGCGCTGTGTCTCATCATCTCGCTGGTGCGATATACAACACCAACCCTACAACCATCAACACCACCGCCCAACGCACCCCATCAACACCCACACCCACACCCAAACCCCCAGCCACACCCCGACCCGAACACAAACCAGCCCATCCCCTCCACCGCAGCAGCAGCAGCAGTAGCAGCAGCAGCAGCAACCGACCTCCTCATCCCCCAAACAATCCACCACCTCCTCCTCTCCATGCCCAACCACCCCGTCTCCGCCTTCCGTCCCTCCCAGCACACCATCTCCTGGCAGCAATCCGGCTGGAAGATCGAGTACTGGACCGAGGCGGCGTGCGCCGAACTCGCGCGCGCCACCGACCCGGCGTCCGGCCGCTACGCCGCCGCGCTGGCCGCCCTGCCCTCCGCCGTCCTGAAATCGGACTTCTGTCGCTATCTGATCCTGTACGCGCGGGGCGGCGTGTACAATGATCTGGACGTGCGGCTGATGCAGCCGTTACCCTGGGGGGTGATGTTGGGAGATGAATCGGGGGATCATCCTGGAGATGGAGATGCCCCCGGGACACTAGGGGAGAGTGGTCCCCCCGCCGCCATCATCGGGTTAGAAGGCGACGCCGCCACGCGCGGTCTGCCGCGGTCGCCGCAGTTCGTGCAGTGGACGATGGTCGCGGCGCCGGGCCATCCGATCTTCGGGGCCGTCTTGGGGAAGATTGTCGACCGGACCGAGGAGTATCTCCGGCGTTTAGGGCAAGAGGATCGCGCGGGGGTGGGGGTGGAACCGCCGGACGTGATGGAGTGGACGGGCCCGAGCGTCTGGACGGATGCCGTGCTCGAGTATCTCGGCGCCGATGAGGGCATGTTGCACACCCTGCGAGATCTGCAGGAGACGCTGCGCATCAGGGATGTGGTGGTGTTGCCCAAGCGCGGGTTCGCCATCACGCAGGGCGAGGACCATCGCTCGGCGGGGGTGCTGGTCAAGCATTATTTCTCGGGGACGTGGAAGACACGTTGTCGGGGTGTGTGGCGGTGGGTTGGGGGGTGTTGACTTTTCTTCTCGGGGTAATTGGGGGCACTTTTGGGCTGTTGGGGTTGGGGTTGGGACTGTGTTTTGAATATATTTATTTGGGGTGTAGAGTTGGGTTGGCGGGCTAATGGGCCGTGTACATATTCACTTCTGGGATGCAAAATATCCTCATCAGTTCGCGTGTGTAGTACTTGGCCTGCAGCTACACCGCATGAGATGCACTTATCCGATAAGATTCAATAATATTCGCTAAAATACACACCGGGTATCGAGGTGCATGCGCACGCAGACAGCCACCTCCCCATTCAATGCCCAGAAAGAGAAAACCACACCTCCTTAAATGCCCAGAAACAGAAAACAACCCCCCTTCCAACACTCCCAACAATTAAAACATCTTCTCAATGATATTCCGATCGCCGTCCAAGGCATCCGCCTCCCGCCTCAGCACATCCGCCCGGAACCGCCGGAAGGCATTCTCGATGCGCTTCCGGCGCTCGGGCTCGTTGGTGATCCCCCGGCTGCCGACGGCGGCACCACTCAGGAAGCCTATCACGTTGTCAATACTTCTCTTCTGGCTGGTGCTGTGATATGCAGAGGAAACATACCCAACTCCCCGCCCAGAAACAACCCGCCCGCCGAGGCAAAGAAATACGTCGCGAAGTCGCCGAACGTGGTGGGTTTCAGCAGCGGGGTGATATCGGGGATGGATTCTAGCGTCGGGCACCCTCACGTTAGCGGAGCTTCAATCATGTTGGAACGGGGGGAGGGGGGGGGGGGGGGGGGGTGCATGCCAGTCCGCCCATCCGCAAACACCACCTTCGTTGGCTTCTGCTGCGCGCGGAAGACCTCGAAGAAGGCGCGGCGCGAGCTCCGCAGCCGGAAGGCCGTGTATAGTCCCAAGCCCACGCCCACGGCGGAGCCGACGGTCGTCCAGAGGGAGACGGTGCGGGCGGCGGATTGCAGGGCGTCGCGGTCGGAGGCCGACAGGTCGTGTTGCAGGTGCTGGTCCGCGAGCCGGGTCAGTTCGTCGCTGCGGCGGCTGCGGGTGAGGGGGATGGAGTCGAGCATTTTGCTGTTGTTGTTGTTGTTGGTTCGGGTGGTGGATATGCGATTGAGTGGTTTTGGAGGGTCAGGGTGAGAGATGCAGGTCGGTGGATGGGTTTTATGGGATGCGTGTCTGCGAGGCCTGGCGATGACATGCGATGCGAGGACACGGGCGGAGTCGGGATGACGTCACGGGATGATCTCATAGTGTTGTGAGTGGGTGAATGGGGTGAGGATACTATTCCAAGTCACTGGAGATACGATGATTGCGAAAAAAAGTTGTCGCAACAGTCCGAATGTCTTCCGATGCACTGCTGTATCTTTGTGCGTGTGTCTTGGGGCCATAATCAATCTGGTGGTGGGATTGCGGATCGACACTGCGCTCCTGCCTGAGGCTGCCAACCGCATATTGGTGCCTAAGGCATAAGAGAGCAGACACGTGATCCACCCGATAACGTCGTGGTGGGCTTATCAGTTCTCCTCGACGCGACTTCTCCCTCCACCTCACCGAGTAACAACTGACACACTCCATACTCATCAAGAAGATTCTGTACGTCTATGACTGTATTTGTCTATGATTGTCTATGACCTTCTATGTCTAGTCTAAATCTAAGACACGTCTAACTTTGTCTAACTTGGGCAAAAAATCCACAGGCAAGGATGCATCGCTTGAAAACAAACTCCCCTCTCCACCCCGGTCGGCCCCGTCGGCCCCGTCAGCGACCTACAACCGCGCACCCCCCTTGAGATTCGCCTCCATCATCTGTCCGATCCGGGGATCCACCCGGCTGAACATGGCCACCGTCGCCTGCTGCAGCTCCGGCACCACCCCCTCCAGCGAGTTGCAGAGGTTCGTCACGAACAGCCGGCGCTCCTGCTCGTCGAACACCTTATGCCACAGCGCGCGCGGCTGCACGAAGTCCTCATCGCCCACGGGGATCTCGTTCAGCCCCAGCACCCCGCCCATCCGCAGGAACTCGTGGTGGCGCACCTCCTTCGCCGACGGGCTGCTCACCCCGGGGGTGAGCGTGCTGCGCACGTAGTTGGGGTCGCCGCCGTAGTTGTGCGTGGTGGTGTGGGCGCCGTCGCGCAGGTAGGGGGCGTACACCGGGCACACGGGCTTGTTGGGCGGGAGCTGCGGGTAGTTGACACCCAGGCGGTATCGCTGGGCGTCGGGGTAGGCGAACATACGAGCTTGGAGCACTACACAGACACTGCGTTAGGGTTGTGTTGACTTTTCCAGTGGATGGGGAGAGGGACATACTCGGGTCAGGAGTGGCAGCCACACCGGGGACCAGGTTGGAGGGAGAGAAAGCCGCCTGTTCGATCTCGGCGAAGAAGTTCTCGGGCTGTGCACGAATGGTCAGCTATTTCTCGGAAATGATGCACCAAGCAAAAGGGGCAACGCACGTTCCGGTTGAGAGTCATCTCGCCAACCTCAATCAAGGGGAAGTCCTTGTGCGGCCACACCTTGGTGATGTCGAACAACGCCCGACCGAACGTCTCGGCGCGCTCGGGCTCCATCACCTGCACGTACAGCTTCCACACCGGGTGGTCGCCGCGCGCGATCGCCTCCCACAGATCCTGGTTGTACGAGTCCGGGTTGGTGCCCGCCAACCGCGTCGCCATGTCGGAGCTGATGTTGCTGATGCCCTGCACGGGCTTGAAGTGGAACTTGCAGTAGCGGAAGCTGCCGTCCTCGGACACCAGCTTGAAAGTGTGGATGCCGAACCCGGTCATCTTGCGCGCCGACTCGGGGTGGCCGCGCGAGCCGAACAGGTGCATCAAGGCGTGCACACTCTCGGGCTGGTTGACGTGGAAGTCCCAGAACTAGAGTTGTCGCGTGGGTCAGTGCGCTGCTTGGCCGACATGTTGTTCCCGATGTACTGGCTGCTTACCATGTTGGGGTCGCCGCGGTTGGTGGCGGGGTGCTTCTTGTGGCTGCGGTTCACCGCGGGGAAGCGGATGGGATCGCGCACCCAGAAAACGGGCTGTCGGTGATTGTGTCAGCTCAGCGGAACTCGGTGCGATGCAGGCGCAGACGGGCTTACGGCGTGGTTGCCAACAATGTCATGGTTACCCTCCTCGGTGAAGAACTTCACGGCGAATCCGTGGATGTCGAGCGCGGTGTCGGCACTGCCCAGACCACCGCCCGTGGTGCTGTGGCGGAACAGCACCTTGGTCTTCTTGCCCACGCCCGTCAGGAACTTGGCCTTGGTGAGGTGGGAGATGTCCTTGGTGACGCGGAATTCACCCCAGGCGCCGGAGCCCTTGGCGTGGACAACTCTGCGAGCTGATTAGTTCGCGTCCCATGCACATGAGCTGCATGCAGATCGGGGATCGGCAGTGCAGGGGTAAGGATCCGTACCGCTCCGGAATTCTCTCCCGGTTGAAATGTGTCAGGGTCTCGATCAGCAGAGTGTCTCCCAGGGTAGTGAGGCCACCGCCACCGAAGGTGGGCAGGGTGGTGCTGACCGCAGGGTCAGTGACAGGTTGGCCTAGATGGATGGGTCAGAGAAGTGATCAACAATGGCCATCGGAGAGGGTCTAGACATACCCTCAGCGAGGGTGAAAGTAGGCTTGGACATGGCGTGGAGTATGTGTGGATGAGGATTGAGTTTGTGAAAAGGGGAGAAAGGGGGGAAATTATGGATCGCGGGGGGCGATCGTGAGATGTGGGAGTTATATACGGCTACGGCCAGGTAGGCTTATCTCTGGACTAACGGCAAGATAGGGATTGCAAGCGATTGCAAGCGATTGCAAACGTGGCGCTCCAGCAGCGGTGAAGCCTTTATCTCGGGACAGAAAATTTTCTCGGAGGCACGGTCTCACCTAGTGCCAAAAGTGGATGGGGATGTTGACGTTTGGCCAGGGAATCTAGAGGGTCAGTGAGGGTCAGTGAGGGGAAATTTAGTAACATCATTGCTCTCTACGGCTTTTCCCCTCACCGTGCCTGCCCCTCATGAGGGGGCGCCCCGTCAGCACAATCAGCGCCCTTTGATTGGTCAATCGGTCAAAGTTCGGCGCATTGCCAGGTACTCGTAAGATCACATGACCGTCTGCCGACAGACTCCGATCTCTGGCCGGTCTCGCCGAGCTCGGGTGTATTTTTCCGGTTACGAGCAGAACAAGAATCATCAACACCATGCTTGGTCGTCCCCAAACCCTGTACCCGCATACTCGAATGCCTCATAAATCCCTCGCTTACCCCTCATACGTCAATCCCCAGTCTGTCTTGCATCAATCCGGATGAGCGCGGATATGTCGGCACAATCAACGGGCCAAACTCGGGCCTCACTGCAGGTCTATACGAGACACTCTTTGTCCAAGGTAGCCGACCCATCGTGTCCTCCATGAAGAGAACAGGATATAAGGCAGTGATGGCACCGCTCGAGTCGCATCATCAGAATCAGCATCAGCATCAGCATCAGCATCAGCATCTTCAGCAGCAGCAAGATCACAATCATCTCACAATCTTCAATCTCAGTGAATCACCCTTGTTACTTCCATATCTCCCTAATCCATAATCATGTCAGTTGCCAACAACTCCCAGTTCGACTTTATCGTCGTGGGTGGTGGTACGGCAGGAAACTGCATTGCGGGCCGGCTGGCCGAGAACCCGGACGTCAAGGTCCTCGTGGTCGAGGCCGGTGTCGCTAACTCGCACGAGATCGAAGACATCACGACGCCGTCCAAAGCCTTCGGGCTGCGGGGCAGCCAGTACGATTGGGCATACAAAACCACCATGATCAAGCGTGAGGACTACGAGCGCGTGGAGAAGCCCAACACGCGCGGCAAGGCGCTGGGCGGCAGCTCGTGTGCTAACTACTTCACCTGGATCCCCGGGTCGGCGGCCACCTTCGACGACTGGGAGCCCTTCGGCGGCCGGGATTGGACCTGGGCGAACTGCGTTGAGTACCTGCGTAAATGCGCCACCTACCACGATGACGAAAAGCTGTACCCGGCTGAGCTGCACCAGATCGGTTCCGGTGGGCCCCTGCAGATCTCCCACGCCGAATTGGTGCCCGAGCTGCAGCCCTTCCGCGACGCCCTCAGCCGGGCCTGGGTGTCCAAGGGCGAACCACTGACCGAGGACATCTACTCCGGCGAGATGCACGGGCTCACCCACTGCGTCGACTCGATCTACAAGGGTCAGCGCCAGGGCAGCTTTGTGTATCTGCTCAACCGGCCCAACGTGACGATCTTGTCCGGCGCGCACTCCAAGCGGTTGCTCATCGACCCGTCTACCCGCGTCTGCTCCGGCGTCGAGGTCGTTCTCCCCTCGACCAACACCACCCTACGCCTCCACGCCACTCGCGAGGTCATCCTCTCGCAGGGGGTGTTCGAAACCCCGAAACTGCTCATGCTCAGCGGCGTCGGCCCGCAGTCGGAACTCACCAAACACAACATCGATGTGATCCTGGACTCCCCGCACGTCGGCCAACACCTGCTGGACCACCCGATTGTCCCCTTCGTCCTCAAGCTGAAGGACGGCCTCACGCTGGACGACCACCTGCTCCGGCCCGGCCCCGCCCACGACGCCGCCGTGTCGGCCTACCGCCGCGACCGCACCGGGCCCGTCAGCTCGGGTCTGCTGGAGATGGTCGGCTTCCCGCGCATCGACGCCCGGCTGGACCAGTACCCCGCCTACCGTGCCGCGAGGGCTGCCAATGGCGGCCGCGACCCCTTCGGCCCAGCGGGGCAGCCCCACTTCGAGCTCGACTTCGTGGGGATGTTCAGCTCCGCCTTCCAGTGGCATTACCCCGTCCCCAAGGAGGGGAGCTACATGACCGTCATCGTGGATCTGCTGCGGCCCGTGTCCGAGGGGGGTGAGGTCACGCTCAACTCCGCGGATCCCCTGGTGCAGCCCAACATCAACCTCAACTTCTTCGCCGACGATCTGGATGTTCTCGCGATGCGGGAGGGTGTGCGCTGGACGTACGATGTGCTGACCCAGGGGGAGGGGTTCAAGGATCTCGTGGTGGGTGAGTACCCTTGGGAGATGCCGTTGCACTCGGATGAGGCGATGAACAAGGCTGTCCTGGAGAGGAGTCAGACTGGATACCGTAAGTGCTATCCTCACCTTCTTGCTTGTGCACCTGAGTTTTTCCGTGTATGGCTAGAGCATGATGTCACTAACAAGTTCTCATGAGACAGACCCCTGCGGCACCGCCCGCCTGTCCAAGAGCATCCACCAGGGCGTGGTGGACTCCCGACTCCGGGTCCACGGGATCCGCAACCTGCGCGTGGCGGATGCGTCCGTCATCCCCGTGATTCCGGACTGTCGGATTCAGAACTCGGTGTACATGATCGGCGAGAAGGTGAGCACGCCTCTCCATGTGGTGAAATAAAATGCTAATCCTCGATGTGCTTGCAGGGCGCCGATCTCATCAAGGCCGACCACCGCGATCTCTACGAGGCTAGAGGGGTTCCGTATCTGGTCCCTAGTCGGTTGTAGGAAGAAGGAAATGCCGTGGAGTTGGGCTTGCCAGGTTGGATTGTTTGTTTAGCATATTGATAATTGAATTGATTCAGCAACAATGAAAGACTCGTCTTGTGATTGATTGTTCTCGTGACCAACACTCTGGTTTGCTGACCATCTCAATTCGGGGATGAATCCTCTTATGAGTGAGTGCGTGCACATCAGCCGCTCTGCCATGCCGCCGTAGGCTCGTTTTATTGGCGAGAAGCAAGCGACATCGAGAGGCTGGCAAAGATATGATGAGTGGGAAGGTATACAGATATGTATACCTCTATCTTAGCTCTCAAGATTGTTGAATTCAGGCGTCAACCAGGAGTCATGGCCGTCAAGAATTAAGAGGCTATATCGCCCGGCCCACCGGCTCTTGGTGGCAGGAATCCAGTGTTCATAAAGGTAATATAAGCTATTCCCTTGAACAGTCCAGCTATTGGACAATAGAATCTATTCTCTGATTATTTGGAACAACAGCTCAATGGTATGCCTCGATATGAACCTGAGCTTTGGAGATTAAGTACAGTGGCAACACCCCGCTCGCGCGGCGTTGCTGCACTCAATTGAGGTTAATTACTTGCGATTTCTTGGCTGTGTACAAAACAGTCTATCAAGATACTAGGAGCAGAGTTCATGCCCTGTAGCTACTCATTCTATGGCGAAGCCTGCTTTATTCAAACTACAGGCATTCTCATTGAGAGCACTCTATTCCGGCTTGACAACTTGTACGCAGGTAGACCACTCTCCCAGGAGCTTGAGACTTTTATGTCTCGCTCGTTCAGAGCGAATATATCTGAAGAAGGAATGGACTTCTTCAGGCTTGCTGGCGGTTGACCAAGTTTCATACCTATTTATTGCCTATGCAAGGCTGGGAATTTGAGTCACGCTTTTGGAGCAAGATGGTAGCTGTTTTCCGACTACATGACGGCTGAATACTGCCCACGCTTGGCAAGAGGGATGAAGTCCAGTTCCTTGAAGGTTCTTTTTTTTTTCTTTTTTTTTTTTTTTTTCAAAATAGTCAGTGTAGGGTTCTTTAGGCGACTATCAATAATAGATCTGATTCCTGGGAGACGACGTTGTAGTGTTCTACGCAGAACTTCAACAGATGCGCGCAGCTTTTACCACAGGCGGAATTACGTCTTGCTGAGTACCTGCAATAGCGAGGTCGATATGGTCTTCCTGATGGACAACGAGGATTTTGATGATGTCTGCATGTCTTTCAGGGACTGCCTCGCCTAAGGTACCGTCGGCGCTGGTAGGAACACTGATAAGGTGTACAGTGCTGCTGTACATCATTCTTCCTACTTCTGTTCTTTCTGCTGTTGGGGCCGGACATCTCCTAGCTACTAGCTAGCTAGGGCTAGGTATAACTACTGGCTGCCTGGGGGTTTGCCTGGCATTTGCCTGGCATTTGCCTGGTTTGCATCGTACGGAAGACTGCTTGCCTCCCTGATCACGTATGACGTTCTGCCGCTCCTATGGCTCCGCCATCCAGACCGCCCCCTCGGGGTATTCTCGGATACACCGACACTTCCTGAATCCCTCCTGCATCATCAAACAACATCATATGTACATACTTACTTACCTACTCGCAAATTCGTATTCACCATACTGGTCCTGCGAAGCCTGATAGCCAAGTCAACCTCCAGACGTCCCGTACCATGCCGCCCATCAATAATCAGAGCAGCTTGGGCTGACAGCCGTCTGGTCGAATATGCGACACCTTTCGAGATATTTCAATCAATGCTTCAAGGCATCACTCAGGAGGATGTCTTCTTCTTCAAGAGGTGACTCTGATATCTTTGAGTACACTTCTGGACGCTTTCTGCGAGCTATGGCTGGTGAACTGCTGGACGCGCCCAGTCACAATAGTTACAATACACTGACGTGCTCGCGGTTGGCCAGATTCAACGAGGAGATCCGCCGCGCCGAACGCCGTGCTCGATTCGACGTGGATGCCCTTGCCAGGGTTGCCTGCCATTCCGTCGGCCACTGCCTCGATGGCGTGGTTTCGATCACAAAACTCGCCGAGGGGGGCTTCAACCGCGTCTTACAAATCACCTTCAATGATGGATATGCAGTCCTGGCAAGATTGCCGTATAAGACGACTGTTCCCAAACATCATGCAGTGGCCAGTGAAGCGGCCACACTCGCCCATCTGCGTGCTAATGGGGTCCCCGTTCCCAAAGTCCTTGCCTACTCCCCAGATCAGACAAACGCCGTTGGAGCCGAGTACATTCTCTTGGAAAGATTCGAAGGAACACCCTTGAGCGGTCAGTGGTACTCCATGGACACCAGAACTCGTGTCAAAATTATGCGACAGATCGTGGATCTGGAAAGACAGTTCATGAGCATCCGCTTCCCAGCAAGCGGAAGTCTTTACCACCGCCGTGATCTTGCAAGCTCACAACGCGTGATCCCGGTCTCGGACGACATTGTCGTTGGTCCAACCGCACAACATGAATGGTGGTATCGGGAACGGGCTTCTCTGGACGTCGATTGCGGTCCATGTCAGTCTCCGTCTGGGTATTCCTTTTTTTGTTTGTTTCGGAAAACACTGACTCCGAGTCAGGGACTACATTCTCCTCATGCTTTGAAGCACCTGCTAAGCGCGAGATGGAGTTTTGTGAAAAGTTTGGCAAACCACGACTCCACGTCGAAAGATACCTGCGAGAACTACACCAGTATCAACCCCGCTCACCCATCCCGTACCAGCATCTCCTTGCCAATTACTTGAAGCTAGCGCCTGGTCTCGACGTTACATCCGACCACCGCATAGCTCGCCCGACTGTTCGTCATCCGGACTTTTCGCCTAACAATATCCTGGTGAATACGTCCAACGAAGTGGTCGGAATCATCGACTGGCAGCATGCAGTCATTCTGCCCCTCTGCCTGTGCGCTGGCATCTCCGACCATTTTCAAAATTGGGGCGATCTCGTGTCGGAGACATTATCCAAGCCTGAGGTCAAATTGCCGGATCATTTTGACCAACTCAACCATGAAGAACAGGCGGCGGTTCAGGAGACGATGCGGAGACGAATCGTGCACTTTTACTATGCGGCATTGACCATGAAATCCCTGCCGGATCATTTTGATGCCATCCGAACTGAAAACTTCATGCTCCGCGCGAAGCTTTTTCATCATGCACAGGCTCCCTGGGAAGGAGACTCGGTGTCGTTGAAGTATACCATGATGCAGGTACTCACGAATTGGCCGATGCCGTTGTATGAAGGGGCACCGACGGGTTTGATGAAGTTTCCGGTTCAGTTTTCAGAGGAAGAGATACAAAAATGCGCGGAGGATCACTGCCAGGAACAGGAGTTACTACAGGAGCTGGGCGAGATGAGGGATTTCATCGGGACCGACGCCCTAGGCTGGGTTCCAGATGAGGATGAGTTTGAACGGTGCAAGGCGGTCATCCAGAGCATCAAGAATGGTTTGATGGAACATTCAAGCACCGAAATGGAGAAAACAGCTGTCGTTCACCATTTTCCATTCGATGACCATGACGAGAATCCGTGATATCCGTTCACAATGAGTTCGCGATCTTGATCAAATGAGGGATGCCGTTTGTTGGCAATCGACCTTGCTCAGGTCCACTAGATCCGCGTGATCTGGAGCCGTTATACGTAGTGACTTCCAAGATCAGGGGAACGGCCTTTCTTCGCGATCCGTGTTCGCTCAGTAAAACGGAGATTGAATGTTGAGGGAGACTCACCTTCTCCTTGGCGCGCGCTCGAGACTTTTGCAAGAGATGACTGCGGTGTCAACATTGATCTTATTGTGTGAGCGACTCCGGCTCTTCGTGGTTCAAAGATTTATTGATTGAGACCATAGCCCTATAGGGAATATCCGCATCAGATTTTATTCCACGGATGATGTTGTGAAGGACTGGCATTTTAAAGGACAGAACGTCTGATTCCATATTGGGGTAGGACAAAGAATGTGACCTCAATTCGTCGAGAACGAGAGGAGGTATTTTTTTACAACAACGCTGAGTACATAGATATTCACGATGTATGCTGCGGAAGTAGCATCGGCCGTGGTTGCATAAATCTTCATGAAAGATCCAAGAACCTCGCCTTTCCGGTATGTCTATACGTGACATTTGGGTGCCGCACTCTGGGTCTCTCCACACAGTAACCAGGTCTGAACAGGAAAAGAACTCCTGGTTGCAACTTGACTTATCCCTAAGGCTCTGTGAATTCTGAGAACGGCGCCGGCAGCTGCGCCGGCATCGGAGTGCAATCCCTTCAGGATCCTGTGTGGGGGCGCAACGTGGGAGATGCAGAGCATGCCCTCAGCCTTGCCGGCTTCATGAACCGTGCCGTGGCTGTCTGGGGATACTACGGTACAGCCACTTCCGGGATGCGCCCACTGGGCCCAGCAATCATGTCTGACCTCCATCAGACGAAGCCAGTGGGCGACGGAGGGCTGGGGACCCCACAGAAGCATATATAGTGATCCGCGACTCATCCGCTACGGGGTCCGTAGCTCTATACAGCACTCATCCTCATTTGTCTTGAAAACATCCGGACGAAGACCCTAAGCTCGGTCCCATCAAATTGCCGTACACCAGCCATGGCCATCAAATCATTAGACTTCCGCCGCTATCGCAGCGACGATGCGCAAGAGCGACAACAATTCTGCGATGAACTCTGTGAAACGCTCTGTGTCTATGGATTTGCTAAGATTCGCCACTCGTCACTTCCAAAAGAGAAGATTGACCAACTGTTCGAATTCGTGAGTCATCCGATATGGCGTCGAAGCTAGCCTGTGCGAGATGTGCGGGCTAACTGCAATGACGACGCACAGAACAAGCGATTCTTTGATCTCCCAGATGACATCAAAGTGAAGGCAGCGCACCCGGCCGCGCCGAACCCCCATCGAGGCTGGAGTGCCATTGGCCAAGAGAGCGTGTGGCAGATCTCCAAGTTCGAGCAAGGCGAGCAGCAGACGGACAGTTACCAGGAATATCGGGTGTGTAAGAGTTATTAGCCAGCCACTGCAAGGTCCACCCCCGAGGTCAAGGCACATCGCTAACAGCCCGCTATTCCAGGAATCCTTCGACCAAGGCGCTGCCACCGACGAGCTCTTCCCCAACCGTTGGGTCGACGAGACCGACCTCCCCGGCTTCCGCCCCTTTATGGAGGGGATCTACGACGACTTCCACGAGCTGCACGGCCACCTCGTGCGCGCCATCACCGCCGGCCTCCGGCTGCCCGCCGACCATCTCATCGCCAAACACCAGAGCAACACTAGCGAGCTGCGCCTGCTGCACTACCCGGCTATTCCGGCGCGGTCGATGGGGTCCGGCAAGCGCATCGGCGAGCACTCCGACTTCGGGACGTTGACCCTGCTCCTGCAGGACTCGGTGGGCGGGTTGCAGGTCGAGGATCAGCGCCAGCTGGGCAGCTTCATCCCCGTCGAGTCGGAGAACGTGTACGAGGTGATCATCAACGTCGGCGACTGTCTGCAGCGCTGGACCAACAAGCAGCTGCGCTCGGCCAACCATCGCGTCTGTCTGCCTCAGGGGACTGATGTGCACTCCACCGCGATGCTGGCCCCTCGGTACTCGGTGGCTTACTTTGGGAAACCGGATCGTGAGGTGCTGGTCGACACCCTGCCGGCGTTCGTGCGGCCCGGCATCAAGTCGGCGTACAATGATCATCTGACTGCGCTGGAATATATGCAGCAGAAACTGGTTCGCACTTATGGCTGAGGCTTTGTTGGAATCCGGTAGCAGGGTAGTTAGGACGAGTACAGCGCAAGTGTAGTGGCGCGATAGTGAATTTTTCGAGTTTGTGTTTTGTGATAGTATCTTTCATTTTCACGTCCATTTCAGGTTCTATGCAGGGCTCTACATTATCATGTCAGCTGTAGCTTGACAGCAGGGACTTGTAGCACACTATATGGGGTCATATCAGATTCAAGAATACCGCGCGAATGGAATCTGAAACATGAATACTAAATATATATGGTTGCCTCTAGGAATAGAACCCCTTCACCCCAGCTCTCCTCAACCAATGATGATTTCTCGGAACCGACTGTGACCAAGGTCGGTATTAGAGATTATTTCACTGTGTTCCACGGTGCTCTTCACATCCAGGTTTGCCCAAGGCTGATCGGTAACGCGCACAGATCGATTCTGTGTAACCGGAGCATTAGCATAATCGGACCCACGGAAGTAGTACCAGATCAGGTGGGAGTGTCTAACCTGGATCATGGATAGAAGTGTCGCATAAATGGCCTCATCTTTACCTACACCCACCCCAACACCCCAAGAACTCTCGGGACCATCTCCAACAACGCAGTGTGCGAATGTGACCAGCAAGCCCTGCTGCCGCTCGTCGGGAAGGGGGTGGAAGGCGGCCATCTGGCACCGGAAGGGCAGCTGCAGAGCCTGAGACATGAGGGTTGCAATCCGGCTCGCCTCGTCCGAGCTATCCTCCAGCTCGTGCGGGCAGGCGGGCTGCTGGAATAGCACGCCGAAGCCCTGTTGCTGTTGTCCAAGGATGCGTGCACGGTAGGAGGCGTCGTGGTCGTAGGATTCTAGAAACAGCGCGCAGACCTCCTCGGCAGCCAGACCTCGTTCCCATGCGACGGACTGTGTCTTGACGATACGACTGAAATGCGCTGCCAGCTCGCCGGGCAGGCTCAAGCCGAGTCCCTGCTGGATGAGCCAGGCCACGCCCCCTTTGCCGCTCTGGCTGTTCACGCCGATCACGCTGTCGAAGGGGATGCCCAGATCGGCCGGGTCGAGGGGCAAGTACGGCACCCGCCACGCACTTCGCGACGGGTTGGCGGCGCGCCTGTTCAATCCCTTGCGGATGGCATCCTGATGGGCCCCGGAGAAGGCTCGGAAGTAGTAGTCGCCGGAGTACGGGGTGCGCGGGTGGACGGGCAGCTGCGTGACTTCCTCGTACACGCGCCGGATGGCCGGAAGGTCCGACAGGTCCAGGCCCGTCTCGATGCCCTGCGTGAAGTAGTTCATGGCCGCCGTCACGAGATCGAGGTTGCCGGCGCGCTCGCCGTTGCCAAACAGACACCCTTCGACACGATCCCCACCCGCCAGACATGCGAGCTCGGCGGCGGCGACGGCGCCCCCGCGGTCATTGTGCGTGTGGATCGAGATGCAGACTGTGTCGCGGTCCCGGAGGTGCCGCGAGAAGTATTCGACCTGGTCGGCGAAGACGTTGACGGTGGTGGCCTCGACGCTGGAGGCGAGCCCTAAGATGACGGGCTGCTGGCGGGTGGGTTTCCACGCCGCCTGGATCGTCGCCGCCAGACGGAGGGCCGCCTCGGGGCGCGCATTCGCGAAGTCCTCGAAACCGAATCCCAGCGTCCACTGCGTGCCCTGCGCCTCCGGGTCGTCTTTCGTGATCGACCGCGCGTACTCGATACACTCCGTCACCCGCGCCAACCACTCCGTCTCCGCCGGCTGCTGCAGGATGGTCTCGCAGTAGTTGTCGCTGGTCGCGAGGTAGGTGAATAGAATGGCCTTCTTGGCCCCCTTGAGGCTCTCGACCGCGCGCTTGAGCGTCTCCTTCCGGCACGGAGTCATCACTTCGAGACTCACATCTGGCGGCACCGCCCCGGGGGTCTCCACGAGCTCCCGCGTGAAGTTGAACTCGGTGTCCGAGGCACAGGGGAAGGAAACCTCGATCTCCTTGAACCCGATGGCTACCAGCAGGCGGAACATCTGCCATTTCTGCTGGATTGTCTACATGCATGGCCATAGCATGGCGGATTAGCTTTCGTCCGCTTCCTGAAACCTCTCCCTTACACGGGGAATCTGGAGTTCGTGCGCACCATAGGGTTGGGAAGAGCTTGATTGCCATCCCGCAGATCGGTGGATAGCCAAATGGGAGACTTGGTCAACTTCTTGGATGGCCATTGTCGGTCAGGGAGGTGGACGTGGGGAGGAGCCCGGCCGCCATACTTGCTCTGAAGGCTTTGGCCGCCCGCACAAGTGGTCGACATTTGGGTATTCTGCGTTGGCTGCGTTGGCCTTAGCTTTGGCCGGCCGGACATCTGGGTTTCTGCCAAACTGGTTTTATTCTTTTGTTCTATGGGTGGGGATCGCGGTTCTTTTCTTTGCGCATGGCCTGGGAGCGAGGCACTGCAGAACCGGGCTAGGGCTTACCGAGCGCCAGCCATTGTGGCTGTTTCCCCCCACCACGTGTGATAAAAGGTTCAAAGGGGTCCCGAATAGACGAGGTGCCATATGAACGGTAATAGTCATCTCATCTCACACCCCTTTCCGATTTCTTTCTTTGTTGGATTGAGTACTTCATTTGAAGACATCTTGCTTAGTCAGGGGTGCATTTCCCGCTGTAGGCTACACCACCAGCCATTCTGCTTGACTCATCGGTAAGCACATCCAGGCCAGTTATGTATAATGGACTGGCAGCCACTGTCCCATTGGACTACTACTTATTCTTGTAGACCGGAAAAGTATTTATATTGTTGCCAAACTGTGACCGGCCGATCGCGAATGAGCCTTGCCGCGATCGTCGACCGGCGTAGACAATGTCTCAGAAGCCCTAAGGAGCATTCTTCCCCGTCACACGTCTACTTGATAAACATCGCTTTGTACTGCTTTTGCGTCTTCAGCAGCAGCGCAGACAATTTGCTCTTACATCTCACCAGTAGCCCCAGTTACTCCCGTGACAATGGTCAAAACACATGATATCGTGGTGTTCCCAGGCGACTACGGAGGTCCCGAGGTGATGGCTGAAGGCCTGAAGGTACATTGCCCCCGGAACCAGTGGTCTGTCCGCGAGGCGACAGGACTGATAGTGAAATACCTCAGGTTCTAGGAGAGATCCAAAGGCAATACCAGACGAGAGTCACACTGAACCTTAAACATCATCTTCTCGGCGGAGTATGTTTGCCTCCTACTCCACCCCTACGGGCTAATTTGTGAGTGAGAATGTCACCACTAACGAGTCACGTTGCGGAGATGGAATAGGCGGCCTTTGATGCGTATGGCACCCCTGTAACCGAAGAGGCCCTGCAAGATGCACAGAGCGCATCGGCGGTTCTTCTAGGGGCTGTGGGTGGTCCGGTATGTGAAAGGAGTCTCATCGTTGTCGTGAAAGAAATCCATGGGAAAGACGCCTGACACTGACGCGATAGAACCCTCCTCACAGGCGTGGCAAGGGAGTCCGATTGCCGTCGAATCCGGCTTAGGGAGACTGCGCAAAGCCATGGACGCGTTTGGCAACCTGCGACCAATCAACTTCATTGCGCCCGTCTTGATCGAGTCGTCCAGTCTGAAGGAGCGCGTGTGCCGGGGCGCGGATCTCCTCATCGTCCGCGAGCTCAGCGGCGGCATCTACTACGGGGATCGTCAGGAGCATGATGGGACCTTCAACGCGGCCTCGGACCTCGACCACTATGACCGGCACGCCATCGAGCGTGTCACACGACTGGCTGCCCGACTGGCCCGCGCGACAGATCCCCCGCTGCCCATCACGAGCCTGGACAAGGCCAACCTGCTGGCTGCCTGTGGCCGACTCTGGCGCGGCGTCGTGGAGCAGACCCTCCGCACCGAGTTCCCCGACCTGACTCTGCGGCATATGCTCATCGATACGGCGGCCATGACCCTGGCGTGCCGGCCAACGACGCTGAATGGCGTCGTTCTGACGAGTAACATGTTCGGTGACATTGTGAGCGACGAAGCCAGCGCCATCCCCGGCAGTTTGGGGCTGCTTCCTAGTGCGAGCCTCTGTGCGATTCCTGACCCTGATAGTGGCGATGGAGTGCGCGGCATCTACGAGCCTGTTCACGGTAAGGGTCCTCCTTTTGTATGCAACAGGCTCTGTTCCGCTGATGTTAGTTATGCGGCTCAGGATCCGCCCCTGACATTGCGGGTAAAGGTATCATTAACCCGACGGGGATGATCTTGTCGGTCGCCATGATGCTCCGCTACTCGCTTGAGATGCCGGACGCAGCTGCGGCTGTCGAAACAGCTGTCAAGGAGGTCATTGAACGGGGGTGCCGGACAAGAGATGTCGGTGGTACGGCTTCCACGACGGAGTTCGGCGACGCAGTCGTTGCGTATTTGGAGGATCATGCGTGAGGCGAGTCGATTGTGCCATGCCTATCTCTGTACTTGCGGCAGATCTATCTATATATCCATCACAGAATTGAATGTATGCCGCTTGTTCGGGACCAGAAGCAAGAGTGGTCGTAGCCACCCTGCCACACACGCAGCATGTCCAAAATAGGGTTGAGTGAAACAATCACCATCACAATCATCTTAGCTTCTAAAACCTAATAGAAGACTGGAATAGAACCAACCAAAGAGAATCTGTGCCACGACATTCCTTGTAGATGTAAGCAAAGTGGGTAATTCCTCGACGCCAACCCCTCCTCCACCGCGCATATGAAAAGCCCAAGCCCCGCCCCGCAAAGCTACTAAGTTCCTCTCGATTCTCGCACAATCGCACAATGTCTACTCCAGGACTTAGGTTGAGCTTACAAGACCAAAGTCTCCCCGAAGAGGGACGGGCTTTCGTGCGTGCTGTGGTAAAGCTTCTGGCCGACACCCGTGGGATTCAACTGGAGGAATGCAGCATTCAAGAACGACAGCCCGGCTCAACTCTCTGGTACCTGACTTGCCAACCACCGACCATCCCTCTTGACTCCGATATTTTGATTATCTCCACTCCTGATGACTTTCTCACCCATCTCGCCGTCGAGCTCGACGCCCGCGGCCGTTCTGCAGACGCATCGACCCTACGATATGTCCTCGACCTGTGTCACACCGAGACTGAGCGCGGGGGGTTGGGATTCCCCGTTTTCCCAGGTGTCGACTGGTCGCTCAATCAGACACAGCGACAGGGGCTGCGGGGCCTCCTAGAGGCCTGGCTGGAATCGCTGAACTCCGCCGAAAGGGCCCGAGGTCTGCACTCTCCCCTGTCCGTCAGGGCCTCCTCCACGCGACCCATGACGCTGGCGGAAAAGATCCTGGCGCACCACGCCTTCTCGCTGCCGTCAGCTGAAGGCTTGAAAGGGGGTGATTTTATCCGTGTCACGGTCGACTGGATCATTGCCAGTGAGCTATCATGGGTGGTAGGTTTCTTCTTTATCCTCTCCTCTGCCCCGAGCCCTAGCCTCACAGGGTCAAGTGAAGATTGGCAGTTGGCAGAGCAGCTGATCCGGCCAAATCCACAATCCTCTAGGGCATGAAACACAGCATGACCAGCATCGGGGAAGAGCCAACGGTTTGGCGAAATGACCGGTTCTGGCTGGCGGGCGATCACACGGTGGATCCCCGGACGTACCATCAACCGCGGGTCCGGGAGTTGATCGATGGCATGCACGATGCGAAGACGAGGTTCAAGATGACGGAGAACCAAGGCTCAAATGTTTGCTGCCTGTCTGCTCTGCCCGAGAACTGTGGCGTGGCTGACAGCAACCCTCATGTGTCTAGTTTACGATCCTGCATACGGAATTTGTGCGCGAGCGAGCCGAGCCGGGGATGCTCGTCCTGGGCTCAGACTCACACACCTGTTCTGCAGGCGCCGTCAGTTCCCTCGCTATCGGACTCGGCGCGGCGGATGTGATGGCGGCGCTGGCCACCGGGGAGACGTGGATCAAGACCCCGGAGTCGATCCGCGTGGAGTTCGTGGGCGCACCGGCGTGGTATATCCGGGGCAAGGACGTGATCCTCTACATTCTGAAAACCCTCAAGCGCAACACCCATGCCGCGGATCGGATTGTGGAATTTGGAGGGCCGGGGGCGCGTCATCTGTCCTGCGACGCGCGGTTCGCGATCTGTAACATGTGCACCGTAAGGTCTTCTGGGTATCTAGCCCTGTGTGCGTGTACAGTGACTAACGCAACGAGAGGGGAATCATAGGAACTCGGTGCCATCACGGGCCTCTTCGTTCCGGACGAGGTCACCAGCCAATTCATCTCGGATCGGCCCCAGGCCCGCTACAGGACGCAGTCGCTATACTTCCAGCCGGACGCTGATGCCTCGTACGCCGCAACCTTCCGGATCAATCTGGAGGAGGTCGAATCTTTCATTGCCCTCTACCCGTCCCCGGACAACGTCGTGCCTGTGACGGAGAAGGTCGACATGCGCTTCGAGGGCTGTTTCATCGGCGCGTGCACCACCACCGAGGAAGACCTGATCCTGGGCGCCTTGGTCCTCGAAGCCGGCCTGCAGAAGGGACTGCCGCTGGCCCGCGGGAAACGGATGGTGGTCCCCGGCAGTCTACCGATCGTAAGCAACTTGCGTGCTCTGGGACTGTTGGACATCTACGCCCAGGCTGGGTTTACACTGCCCGCCGTGAGCTGCAGTCTGTGCCTGGGGATGGGGGCTGACCGCGCGGGGTCGGGCGAAAATTGGCTGTCGTCGCAGAACCGTAATTTCAAGAACCGAATGGGTCCAGGTGCGTCTTCATTCTTCGGGACAAGGACAAGGGAATAAGCTGATATTGTCTGAACTGACCTTGCTTTTCAGGTTCTACCGGCCATATTTGCTCCGCTGCTGTCGTTGCGGCCTCATCCTTCAGCATGCAGTTGACCGACCCTCGTCCTCTCCTGCGTCAGGTGTCAGTCGAGAGGTATCAGACCTTACTCGCCAGCTGTCGACGCATGAAGGCCGATCCGCGGGGAAAGTTGCGCGAGCGTCTCAAGGCCAGCGCAAACCCAGCCGTCTCACCCCCGATGCCCCCAGTGGTCGAGCCCTACTTGTCCGTTCGCAAGACTACTACTCCGTCGACAACGACGTCCATCCCAGGGCTGGAACAAGAGAAGCCGCACAGCGCACCAGCGCAAATTACACGCAGCGGGGTCTCGAGATTGGGGGACTTCGTAGACACTGACGCGGTAGGTTCGCGTTTGCGCGAGTGGACGAACAGGCTATGGCTAACGGAGCGTGGACCAGATCATCCCTGCAGCATTCATTCTGGAGAGTCCGACCGACGTCCTGCTCGGGAGTCATTGCTTGGAGCTGACTCACCCCGAGTTTCGCGACCAGGTTCGTGCTGGTCTGGATGTCGTCGTCGCCGGGAAAGCATTTGGCTGTGGTTCGTCGCGAGAAGAGGCGCCACGAGCGTTGAAAGGTACGTCTTGCGAGATCGATGGAGTAGAGGGAAACAGAAGGCACTGGTTCTAACGGATGTGATGTTGCAGGACTCGGGGTGAAATGTGTGATTGCACGATCGTTCTCCTTCATCTATGGACGCAACCAGCCCACCATCGGCCTCCTCGGCCTCACCATCACCGACGACGACTTCTACGCGGCAGCGCAGACCGGGGTGGCGATTGAGATTGACCTGCCCCGTCGACAGGTCACCGTGAGTGACCGATCGTACCCGTTTGTGTTGGACGAGATGGAACTGGCCTTGATCCAGCGGCAAGGGCTGGCGGCGGCGTACAAGATGTTTGGCAAGACTGTTTTCCAGTCGCTCTGCAACGACCATGGGTCGGGGACAGTGCCAGCTTCTGCGCTGGCCGAGATGCATCTTGGACGCCGTCAGGCTGAAAACAGAGGCAATCAGGAGGTGCTGGCATGGTGAAGTCGATCTCTCCTGTCTCTGTTCCTTAGCTCGGTATCTCAATCTATTATTTGCCATGTCAACAACAATGGAAGCCTTGAGCGAGGAACCATCCGTGTAGATTTGAGGTATCTGAAGCCAAAACCAATCCCTGGCTGCGTGCAAGATTTAATCAATGTCACTTTGCTCCGTACATATCTATAGACGCCAATAAAAACCCGACCCAACGAGAATGTGCGTTGTGAACCGACTCTGTCTCCACATCTTCAATTCCAATCCGTCATCGTAACTCAAGTAATCGTTTCATCTCATCTGAAGCAACTAGAGGACCTCGGTATAATTTGTGCTCGTGATGTTCGTAATCGTCCGGCGATATCGTGTGCAGCGTGATGAGAGGTATTCTCACTTCATTCCTACTGGCACGTATCGATCAGCATGATCTGCTCGGTGGGTGTCGCACAATGAGACCGCGGGGCTTGATACCTTGGAGAGTTCTAGACGTCCCTTACCCCCATCCCCCGATGGCCCTTCTCCATGCCCTGCAGAGCATGGAACATATCCTCCCGGTTCCGCAGTCGGACCTCTCGCATGTATGAGGCCTGCTCCGGCGTCATCCCCGGCAACCCAGGCCCGTCGAAGCTGTCGCCTCCGTACAGTCGAGCCAAGGCGTATCCTATGAAGACAAACACCACACATCCGCAGATAACGAGAAAGACAATCAACTCGTGTGACGGATTCCACCCCATTCTGAATTTCTCCTACACTCTGCCAGTGTGGTCGTGTTAGTGAAAGAGAGAGCTTTGGACCTGCCGAACGGATGTGGCGGGGGTTAGCCGGACACACGCTCCTTTGATATGATATATTCCCATGCCTATGGTATGGTTCTGCGTCCCATGGACAAATCTATTTTCATCGCGAGGACAGTCTTTCCCCATTGGTTGCCATCGGGTCTGCAAACCTGCTGATGCATATACGACTCCCGCGGCGATATGCATGTCAGGGCTTGGTTTTGCTGCGTGCGGGGCTGTGATTGGGGAGATTTTCTTCTCATCAGCAACCGTGACGTCATTAGCGAACCGGCCAATCAGATGCTGCAGATACCCCTGGCTCGTTTCTCGGCATTGTTTACTGAGTGGCAGGTAAGTGCTATTCATAGGCCCTGCATCCGGCCGGTCTCTCCCACATCTTTCTCGTAGCCGGGTGCATCGAGTCATGAAACATTGGCTGGTCTTTGGTTCCTATGTCTTGGGACGCAGTAGAGCCGCTTCGCTTGTCTTTGCAATCAGAGAATTTTATGACACGTGCAGAGAGAAGTGGGTCGGGTATCTCAAGCATCTAGACACTCTATCTACGATAAATTGGGATTTATTCACAATGACAGCGAGCATCTAGACAGGTGGAGAGGAGGAAGAAGGGGGGTAGGGGTAGGGGGAGAAGAAGAAGAGGTGGGGGCGATGGTCTCATCGACCAAATCCAAGACAAGGCTGACAGGTCCAAACTATGTAAACTACTCAATATTCTAGACCGAACGACGCGACGAGCCTAGACTAAGTCCGGAGTAGTGAGGCGAGAATTTTAGGCTGTCAATCAGTGTCACGCTCTGACTCCGTAGCGCGCGCCACGCGCCGCCGTTCCGACGCTCACTCCTCCACACTCTCCTCGGCACTGTTTTAGATCCGTTCTTGAGTTTCCAACGGTAGAGGCACAGTCCAATCTCGATCTACATAGCATATGTTTATTCCACTATGATTCGTCGTTGAGTGAATGCCGCGGTGGGCGGACGTGGGCTGGCGATCCGGCCAGTGGGTGGGTTGGTGGGTTGAAGTTAGGGCACGATTGCACATGGGGTGCCCCTGATGAACCTGGCGAGAGTCTCTCCTCTCCATCAGATAACCTACAACCATCTTTCTCTTGTTTTCTGGTCTTCTGTTTGTGTAGAACAGCTTTCCACTCTCTTCTTATTCCTTCACTATCCTTCAGTCAGTCGGTCATTATCTCTTTCCTCCCAAAGAAGCACTTTCATAGTACTAAACGCTTCAGCGTCATTCACTCGTTTCACGACCTCTCCTTTTCACGCCACTCGTTTTGCCCTAAGCCACGCCCGTTCTACAGTCCACAGTGAACACCATGTCGACCAACAGCACCACCACTGATACCAGCACCTTTGTGTGCACCCTCCAGACGTGCAGTCTCGACTATGCCATGATCCACTACATCCCCTCGCTGGCCGGGAACGCGCTCTTCCTGGCGCTCTTCTGCGTGGCAGCAGTGATTCATCTGTTTCTGGGGGTGTGGCACCGCACCACCAGCTACCTGGTGGCGGTGATGGGGGGGCTGCTACTGGAGATCATTGGCTATGCGGGGCGCATCAGCCTGCACGACGACCCTTTTTCCTTCAACGCCTTCCTGCAGTACCTGATCTGCCTCACCCTAGCGCCCGCCTTCATCTGCGCCGCAATCTACCTGTGCTTCGGCCGCGTGGTGATCGAGTACGACGCCCGGTGCTCGCGCCTCGCGCCCGCCACGTACTCGAAGGTCTTCATCGCCTGCGATCTCGTGTGTCTGATCCTGCAGTCTGCCGGGGGCGCCATCACCTCCACCGCCGGTACGGACAACACCAGTCTCAGAGACCTCGGCATCGACATCATGATCGCCGGGTTGGCGTGCCAGGTCGTCTCGTTGGTAGCCTTCATGGCGTTGGCCGGCGACTTCGCTCTCCGACTGCGCCGGCACCACGCCCAGGGGTCGGCCTCGCTGCTGCCCGTGGACTGGCACGCTGGGTGGAAATGGAGGGGGTTTCTGATCGGTTCGTTTGCTTGCCTTGCTCCTCTCCTATCCCTCTAAGCAGTGTATTAAACCTTCGACCAGGTCTGATCGTCGCAACCACAACCATCTTCATCCGCTCGTGTTTCCGCGTCGCCGAACTGAAGGGGGGATTCGGGAGCGCCCTTGCCAACGACCAGGTAGCGTTCATGATCCTCGAAGGTGTGATGATGATCCTGGCCTGCGGCGTCATGACGGCGTTTCACCCGGGACTGGTCCTTTCGCGTGAGCGCTGGAATGCCTCCGCGCAGCAGCAGCTGAAGTTGCATCAGGTCGAGAGTCGTTCCAGTCAGATAGAGATGATACAGCGCTCGGGTGTATAGTCCCTTCTCTTTTGTTTGTGGATCGTGCTAGGAAGGTTTGAAAATAATCGATTCCATGATGTCTCAAGACACCACCGCGTTAATAAATCTATGTCCTCTATCGTAGGATCCTCTCCCAATACCTCCCACGAACCTTCCACTCCGCATCTGAGCCACCAGCCATCAGCCATCAGTCCCGCCGACGCACACGCAGACAGAGCTGTGCACTCGGCCTCGCCGTGCCAACCTGCACCTCCTTCTCCGGCCCCTGATCGATCGGCTCCACCTCATAGTGCCGCACCAGATACGCCAGCATGAGCTTCATCGTCTGGGCCGCGAAGAACCGTCCCGGGCAAGCATGCCGCCCGTGCCCAAACACCAAGAAGGCATCGGTCGTCGTCGCGATCGACAGCGCTTTCTTGCGGTTCTCCTCCAAATCACTAAATCGAAAGGGATGGAAGGTCAATGGATCGGCGTAGTTGAGCGGGTCGCGGTGGATGGCATGCGCCGGCACACACACGCGCACGCCCCGCGGGAGATGCAGCAGCCCCTGGTCGAAGTCCAGTCCCGCGGCTGGCGCCACCATCCGCGGCACCGCGATGTACGAGAGGTCTGAGACGCGCATTGATTCCCGGATCGTCGAGTCCACGCGCACCAGTCGGTCCAGGCCGGCTTTGGTCCATTGGTCTGGATGTGGCTGAGGCGGTGGCTGGGACGATTGGTTCTCTTCGCGCCAGACGCGCTCGCATTCCTCGCGGAGCTGCGCCACGAAGGTCGCACAATCCGGGGCAGAGTACAGGTCGATCACCGTGTGGGTGATGGACATGGCCATGGTTTCGATGGCCACGAAGTTCAGCATCAGCAGGCGCTGCGTGATCAGCCGCGGGTCGATCTCGCGCGGGTCGTCGCGTTTCACGCACTCCTCGAGGAGCCATTGGAGTCCGTCAACCTGTAGAAGCCGTCAAATTTCCGGGGACTGTGCTTAGAACCAAAAGGCAGTAGAGACTCCTTGAGACTGGAGACATTGGAGGAGAGCCACGAACCGGTGCCTTCCAGGCGGGATCCTGCGCGAGGGTCTTCTGCAGCCGATCCTGCACTACCGGCATACATATGTCCACGCAGATCTGGAGGTTCTTGCGATTGGGATACGTGATGAGCGGAGCGAGGAGCGAACGCAGCCACCGCGGCAATAGGCGGATGATGATGCCTGCGCGCCCAACGCTCTCAGAATACTGGCGCGAGTGGTGCAGGAAGTCCTCATTGCGGCAGATGTCCGGGCCGGCGAAGACGCGGTTGGCCACGCGGGTGACGATCTGCGTGCACGTTTCGAATACCTTCACCTTGACCTCCGTGGACGCCGTGTGCCGCGTGCCCCAGTACTGCCGGAAGCTGCGGTCGACCTCATCTGCCATGATGGGCAGGACCAGCGGCAGCTGGCGCGTCAGCTGCCGGCGCACCAGGTCGAACTGCAGTGGCACCTGCACTGCGTGCCATCCCAGCGGGCCCTGGGTGTAGTAGTGCTGCAGTTGATCGGCATGGATGATCTCATGGTCCAGCTCTCGGTCCGATTTGGCCAGCAGCTCGCGCATGCTGCTCGGTGGCAGGACGACCCAGGGTGCTTCCGCAATGGTGGGCAGCACGAACGCCCGGCCCTGTTTGGAGTACTGTGCACGTCAGTGGGATGGGATGGAAGGTGTGAGAGAGAGGTCGAGCGAGGGGGAACCGACCAACCTTCTCATAGCCCTCCTCCAGCATCTGCCGGATGCCGCGGATAGTGCGCAGCGAGGCCCGGAATCTGGAAAACCACTCGACGCGAACGCCTACCCATGGCTGCGTCTTCCAGAACTGACGATGCTCGCGTGAGTCTGTCAGCACCAGTTGGTGGAAAAGGAGGACGATGGTTATGCCGATAGCTGCGTGCAGCAACAGTCTCGGTTCTCCGGCGAGGAGTAGTTCAGGCAGCATACTGTAGGAGCATGCACACGAAGCCTGTGTCAATTGACTTTTACGAGAATGCAATATGCTTTGCCGGTCGTCTCTGCGACGAACACTTTAAGGGTTCGAGAGAGTGTGGGGGGAAGAGGTCCCATACAGAGCATTATCAGCAGAGGCGATAAAAGGGCTGGCGACATCAAGGTAGTTCTTGCCAGAGCAATTGATGGCCCGACCACGGGTCTTTTTCTTGGAATTCCATGCACGAAGAGTTCTAGGCATTAGATAAATAAGCTACTGGTAGTGTATTGCACTGTTTCCTACAAGCAGACAAGGGTGAATCTACGCTGCGATTTGGATGTATATTCTGAACTTGACCACGGCTGCGGGTTCATGTAAACCATCCGAAATAAAACAAGGGGTCTGTCTTCTACGACATAGAAACTACCACGATGGTATATACCCAATTCGGTACTGACAAGTATTTACCAGGTACTTATTTGGTCTGGTTCTACGAGGCCTGTAGTGGCGGGTGGTAGTGATCGCGCCCGCCAAAGGCCATTCCGAGCGACTCATGGGCAAGGGAGCCAGGAAAAAGTGAAAGATGACAGACGAGATATAAGAAACGATAAATGAAAAAGGCAAAAACATAAGAGGACTGCATTTGTCACTGCTCGGATTTCTTTTACGCCGCTTATTGCGACCTGATAACGTGCAGCAGGGTGCATGACTCAGCCGTGGACGAGCAACGCAGGCTACATCCGAGAGCCGTCGCTGACTAAGGCAACCATCCACCCTCATTCCAGCCACAGCCAAGTGAAAAGAACCAGATAGTGAGGCTGAGATAGGCTGTGAATGCAGAGGGGTCGGACGAAAAGCCCAAAAGCAGCAAAACAGAAAAGAAGACAGGAAGAGTGGGGAAACCATGTTGCCCTCCACCATGTGGCGGCGTGACCAGATGGGCCCTAAGTCGAGGCTTCAAGCGTTCGGGTCCAGCTCCACCATAAGGCTGTTTCGCAGCAAGCACAGATCCTCTGAGCTATGGTACACTCTAGGTAATATAGGTAGATCAATGCCCTGCTCATGGATGATGGTGTCAACAATCTTTCCACGTTCAGTCGCGGGAAGGTCACCTCTCTTGTCGACTCCGTTTTCTCACGGGCAGCACATCTGACAAATCGAGCGCACGCACGAGTCATCAGCACCAGCATCAGAGGGATCTCTCCGTATGCTTCCTCATCTCCTCTATTCTCAAGCCGTTCTTCGACACCCAGTAAGTAATAGTAAGTAATTTCCTCACTCACCCACAAACATCATGACCCCAGAAAACCGTGCTCTCCAATCCCCGGAGAATGAGACGGAGACGAGAGTCCTCGTCGACGCCCCAAGGGCAACAGCCCACGAAGAGGAGTTCCAAAGCATCTGCGCCGAGGTACTCAGCATCGAGGTCGACAAGCTAGATGCGTCGCAATCGTTCATCGGACTGGGCGGGGACTCCATAGCCGCCATCAACCTGATTGCGCGCTGCGAGGAGCGAGGAATGGAGGTGCAGACGGGCGCAATAATCAATGCAACCAGCATTACCGAGCTCTTCTCGACCGTGAAAGTACGACCGTCACGAGAAAATGCACAACCCACGGCTCCGATGCCCACGAGGGCCTCGCGACTCGAGGAAGCCGAATCCGCACCCTTCAGCCTGTGGCAGGACTACACCCAGGCAAGTCCCGAAGAACAATCCCTACTTCTGGAGCGGGTGGCGACGCAATGCGGGATCGAAGTTGATATGATCGAAGATGTGTACGCCTGCACCCCATTGCAGGAAGGTCTGGTGGCCATCACGGCCCGTAAACCGGCGGCCTACGTCGACCGCCGCGCATTTACCCTGGCACCCACCATCGACCTCGAGCGGTTCCAAGCGGCCTGGGAGACCTTGATCGCCAGAACCGCCGTTCTACGCACCCGCATCTGTATGGGCCCGAGCGGCCGGTCGTTGCAGGTAGTGAGTCGCCAACACATCCCATGGCGACATGGCACCACCCTGAAAAGCTATCTGGCGGAGGATCGCAAAGAAGGAATGCAGCTCGGGCAGCCCTTGGCCCGGTGGGGTCTCATCCCCAGATCGGACGACACGAACGGCGAGGGGGCGGTTTTTGTGTGGACTGCGCACCACAGTGTCTACGATGGATGGAGTGCAACCCTGCTCTACCGCCGTCTCGCCGCCATCTACTTCCACAACCAGCTGCCCCTCTCAATTCCTTACACGCGCTTCGTGCGCTACGTAGAAGGTAAAGATCCGGTCCTCGCCGCCAACTATTGGCACGACCAACTGCAGGGGGAGAATTCGATGGCGCACTGGCCGGCGCTGCCTGCCCCCAACTATCAGCCCAGTCCCCGGACCCAGTTCAGGGGTGAGATCTCGATGCGCGACGGGGCCGAGCAGGGCGTGGTCATGATGTCGCATATCCTGCGCGCCGCGTGGGCGCTCGTTCTGGCCCAGTACACTGGCCAGAACGACATCATCTTCGCGGCCACCCTGTCGGGGCGCAATGCCCCTGTCTCGCAGGTCGCCGAGATCGCCGCCCCCCTGATCACCACCGTCCCCGTGCGCATCCGCATTGATCGCACGCAGACTGTAGGGGGATTTCTGCAGGCCGTGCAGCGTCACGCGACGGAGATGATCGAGTATGAGCATACCGGACTGCAGAAGATAAAGACCATGCTACCAGAATTGAGCGGGGCCTTGGACCTCCAGAACTTGCTGGTCATTCAGCCCGCCTCCGAACGCGACGTCTACCAGGCCTTTCCGGGACTGAGCCCGGTGTCGCTGCCCCTGGAGGACTTCGACAGCTACGCCGTCAACGTGGAGTGCACTTTGGGGCGCCAGGCCGTAGCGGTGGAGGTCATGTACGATGACAAGGTGATCGCCCCCGCGGACCTGGCCAAAGTCATGGACCAGTTCTCCTTCTTGGTGCAGGAGCTCAGCCGTCCGTCAGCTCGGGATCGGCTCTTGCAGGACGCCGTCAGAATCTCTCCATCCGACCAGCAGCAGCTCCTAGAATGGAACACTACCGTGCCCGCATCGGTGGACCGGTGTATTCAAGATCTGGTCGCAGAACAGGTGCGGTTGCGGCCGACGGCGCTCGCGGTCGACGCATGGGATGGCCAGTGGCAGTACGCCGATTTAGCAAGCCAGAGTATTGCGCTAGCCCATTACCTGGTCGGGCTGGGTGTCGGCCCCGAACAGCCAGTGGGACTGTGTATGAACAAGTCCAAGTGGGCGGTGGTGGCCATGTTGGCCATTCTCCAGGCTGGCGCTGCAGTCCTGCCCTTATCGGTGCGTAGCCCACTGGCTCGCTTGCAGGGTATTGTTCAGGACGCTGGCCCGCGCGTGATTCTGGTCGACCAGAGCCAGGAAGACCGGCTGGATAACGACGGCTTGAACACGCTTGTTGTTGATGCCACGCTGATAGCGAGCCTGAGCCCCAATACAGAACCGCCACACACCGGCGTCACGCCACAGAATACAGCATGGGTGGTATATACCTCAGGGAGTACAGGTACCCCAAAGGGTGTGGTGCTGGAGCACCGATCGCTGTGTACCAGCCTCATAGCCCATGCAGCTGCTGTGGGGATTGATCAATATACACGGACACTGCAATTCGCGGCCTACACCTTTGATGTCAGCCTGTGCGACATCTTCAGCACCCTGCAGGCCGGGGGATGTGTTTGCGTGCCGTCTGAGGAGGAGCGCATGAACGCATTGGCCGCGACAGCTGCGCGTATGGAGGTCACCTACGTGGAATTAACATCCACGGTGGCCGCCACCCTCTCCCCGGCGACGGTGCCCTCCCTGACCACGTTAGCCCTAAGTGGAGAGCCGTTAAAGCCCGCGATCTTGTCGACCTGGGCCCGACGAGCGAGCGTGTTCAACTCCTATGGCCCGTCGGAATGCTCCATCGTGGTTTCAAATAGCCAACGCTTGTTCCACATCGACCAGGCTCGAAACATTGGCCGGCCCATGGCGTCCAACTTTTGGGTGGTGCAGGCGACCGATCACCAGACTCTGTGTCCCATCGGCGCCCCGGGCGAGCTGCTGATCGAAGGGCCCCTACTGGCCCGTGGCTATCTTCACGACGAGGCGAAGACCACGGCCAGCTTCGTCGTCGACCCGCAGTTTATAACACAGCTGGGTCTCCCGAAAACCGGACGTCGTATGTACCGGACCGGTGATCTGGTAAGTCAAAATCCGGACGGATCGCTGCTCTATCTTGGCCGCTGCAATAGCCAGCAGGTCAAGATCCGCGGTCAACGCGTGGATGTGGGCGATATCGAGTACAATATTGCGCAGCATCTTCCGGGGTTGAACACCGTTGCGGTGGAGCTGGTGGAACGCGGCACTCAGATCTACCTGGTGGCAGCAATGGATTTCGCTGCCAACACCTCATACGGGAGCGACAAGCTGCGCTCCATTGCAGAAGACCTGCGGAAGAAGCTCCTCCAGTCCCTCCCAACGTACATGGTGCCCACGCTGTATATCCCGGTGGAGGCGATGCCCACCAATGCGTCGGGGAAGCTCGACCGGCAGGCTCTACGTACATACCTGAACAGCCTCTCGACCTCGGACCTGCAACAATACATGCCAAATGCAGGGCCCAAAGCGGTGCCCTCGACGGAGATGGAGCAACGGGTGCGGGACTGGTGGGCCAAGACGCTGGCCCTCGCACCAGACACCATCGGCCGCGAGGATGACTTCTTCCAGATTGGCGGTGACTCTGTCGCCGCGATGCGCATGGTGGCAATCCCCGACGCGCGTCAACACCATCTGACTGTCGCGGAGATCTTCCAACATCCGATTTTGTCGGATCTCGCTCGCAGTGTGAAAGGACGGGCCATGGCGAACATGGAGAAGCAGACCGAAGAGGCCGATCCAGAACCCTTTGCCCTGTGGCAAGTGCCTGAAGACGCCCAATTCCCAAGCCGCACTCTTCAACAACGGCTCGCACGCATTGCTCAACAGTGTGGTGTCACGGTGG